GTCAAGTGGTTGTCAGTGGATCACTTTTTTTTGGCCATCGATAACTCTGAAACTATCAGTCAGAATTACTTAAAAATTGGTTGATGTATAGTGTAATTATCGAACTCTCGATACGAATAGTAATTTTAAGACTCGTCATTTAAATTAACAGCGGAAAGCGCCCTTTTTTTAAAAAAAAGAATTGATCCACTGTGTGCAAGGGTGTATGCAGACTGGATCACCTCATGGTCTACAGTAGATCATAGAGTTATTCAGAGGAAATGAAACACATTTCATACTCGAATCAACTTATTATATTAACCATTAACAAAAATAAAACAATCTGCTGTTTCTCTTCTCGTAACTTATAACACCCAGAACAAACAAAATTTAAATATATTATTCCCTTTACAGTGTGCCTACATAATTATTAGTTTTTCTTTTTAATTTGTTTATTATATCACTGAATAATATCATTTAAGCAAATGTGAAAATACAGTGACTTCTTCATAATCGTAATTAAAATAACAACTTCAAACTAATGAACTCGTGAGTTTTGTTAAGGTGCCGCTTTAATGAAGTATCTTATTATTAGAGATAATAAAGGTAAAGGAAATCTGATGAGTTATTGTTAAGGTGCTGTGCTTACTAAATATCTTAATATTAGAGATAAAGGAACTTTTATGTCAGTCAGTAGCTACAGCCAGTGCTAATCTAGTTTGTCCATTAAAAATGTTTAAAAATTAATAAAGGTTGAGACATTTTGCTATGCGCTTCATATTTATTTGTGTAGCATCATGAGATAGATAGATGGCTGTTGTAACTTAAAGTTAACATTTGTAATAGTTAATATCACAATTATTTTTGCTTAGGTACTTAGTACTTGCATAAGTCTTTCGTTTAGGTAATTTAAAAATAATTTTTCACAAAGTTAAAAATAAATTTACGAGGTTGTATTTGGTATGCCTTACATACGATAAAAATTATCATCATCGTAAATTATGTTTATCTATTCAGTCTCACTTTTTGTACCTTAGTACCTACAGTCACATCAATCTTGTAGACACTTTGGATTTAACCGCCTTAGAGTTGAATTTAAATCTTAAGTGTCAAGCTTGACGTGCTCACTGTACCAAAGAAATTTATTCTCATTATTTAGAAAGACTACCTAAATAATCAGCGGATGTTAAGACCATTGAGGTTAACACCAAAAGTAAGGTAAGACTGCTGCCGAGCAGTACTACCATTTAAGGTAGGGTTTGGCAGTATCATCTTTATATTATCTTCTTTAACATAAGCCAAGTCTGGGGCGTTTGGCATTGTGAATTGCCCTTTTCTGTACCGCAAATAACTTACGTAGAATTCAAGCTCATTGTTCCTTTCTTCTAACACTTTGGCGACATAAAACACTTGCTGTTTTTTTGACGCGAATTGGACCACAACATATTGTCCCTCTCTTGGCAATTCTGTTAAAGGATTCACCAGCAACTCTTCTGTTATAATGTTTTCTTGGTTTTCTTCATCGTCCAACCAATTATCATCATCTGCTGAGTCATCGCCTAACATAACTTCACCATCTTCTTCAGAATCACTCTTTAAAACTTTTCGAACATACTTTTTGTCTTTGGCTTTACGCTCTTTCTTCCTTTTAATAGCTTTTTTGTAGCTCTTGATCTCCTCCTTTTCTGGCGTATCAGTTGCAATAAGGCTTCTCCCCAATCTCCTCGGCTTCCGTTTTCCACTTCTTGCTGCCGCTTTGAAAGGCTTTCGAAACTGTTCTGGCGTAACAAGCGGTGTAGGTGTGAAGATTTTGGAAGTCACAGATGAGCTGACGCAGGTGTTTCCAGATGTTAATCTATTTGTTGAAGATTGAGCAGCTTGAAGATTAGACAGAGGTAGGGGAATGGAAAGTAAATTGACTTGTGAGATTTCATTAGTAGACGGTAATCTAACAAACTCTGCAACGGCTTCTTCAGTTGGTACAGTCGATTGGTGTTCAATGGATTCTAGGAGGGCGTCTATTATAGAAGGACTTGGAGTATCTACATCCCGGCGTGACCAAATATCTGATATTTCACTTGAAACATTTCTCTCGTCTTCATCGATTGTCACTTCATTGGAAGCTTTCAGTTCGTCGCCTCTAATGGTAGAAGGGCCTGCAAAATAGTAAGTACCTAGTATAAGTATAAGATAGCCATGGTGGCCCTGAAAGAAAGTTTCTGAATAGATAGGTATACGTACGGAGTATTAATAAGGTTATTTGTTTAATTACTGTAGGTACCTGCTATCTCCAGAACTTCAGGCCTGTCGGTCACACTGCTCGGCATAAAATCGTCTTCTGAGAATATATGTCTATCGAACGGATATATTCCGGTTTTCATGAATGATTTCCGTATGTTTACCGGCGTCATAGACTTTTCGAAAGCCTGTCCTATAAGACTGCCAACGTCATAAATAGTGACAGGATGCCCAGGATTACGCATCATCCACGACTCCATTGCCGACGCATAAAAAGTTTTGAATTGTGCGTAAATGCCAACATCTAGAGGCTGAAGTTTTGCCGAAGTGTGTGGGTGTAATGTCAGCAAAGTAACGCCGGATTCCTTAGCTAAATCGAGAACTTCGATTGAAAGGTGAGACTCATGGTTGTCCATGATTAGAATTGATGGGAAATTCTTTGAAGATGCCGACCGTTGAATAAAGTGCTTCATCACCTCTACAAACAGTTCGCTGTTCATCCAACCAGACGGTGATGCTAAAATTAACGAGCCGGGAGGTGTTCCTATTTTCATGCGAGGGTTTATGTTCTTTCTCGGGAACACTATAGCGGGAGGAAGCGCCTGTCCTCCAGCACCTATAATGTTACACGTTGTGACCAGCGTTCCTTTTTCGCCACTAGAAACTTTGCATATGTTCCTTCTTCCCTTTGGAGCCATAACTTTAGGATTTTTCTGCACAGTGGACGTCGCGGTCTCATCCAAATTAAAAATGCGAGTGCCATCAGCGAAGGCAGGGTTGCGACTAATCACATTTTCCAGGTTGTCAAAAAATTTTTTGACAGTTTCCTTATTGAAAGCCGTGGCTCTCGCTAAACTGCAATTTTCTGGTTTGCGGAGTGACATATCCGGGAATCGTTCCCGAAATCCTCTGAGCCAGTCTAGTCCAGCCATTTTATCTCGTTCCCAATTAACAGGAACGCTCACATTATTGTGCTTTGCCATCTCGTAAGCTACTTTACGGCAATCTTTAGAAGTCAAACCATAAAATAGCAACGTGCACTTTTCAAAATAATCGCGTAAGGCCTGTTCTTGCTCATTCGTGAATGTTTTTCTCACCGAGTAGTTAGGTGTTAACCGAATGGGATTCCCATTATCATTTGCCACCTAAAAAAGTACAATTTATTCATATAGGAAGCAAGGCATAAAAATACAATAAAAGCTAAATACTAAAGCTAGGACTAAATTACATTATTTACCTCCTTGCTTCGGTATCTTTGTAAAGTAGTGAAAGGAATATTGAATTCTTTGGAGACGTGCCTAATACTTTTCCCACTTTGAATAGCATCTAAAGCCTTTCTCATTTGGTCATCCGTATGATTACCAATTTTTCTCGCTTGGTTAGCTGCTTTCTTTCTCACCATTCTGTAATCAGAATATAGGTATTTTACTTCTATTTCATTAATAAATAAACAGCAAAAATTATACATAAATGCATTCGTTAGACGGTATTTCGCTTAATTATTATTGCATAGAATATACACAGCTAATGGATTTTTTTAATTTGATGATGCATCGCCTTAAGTGACATCGTCAATATAATGGATCTGGTACTCAGTGGATCGTGACCTACTGAGTACCTGATCCACTATATCCACTGTTGACCAAAGCCCCGTTTTAAAAAAGTATCAAGCAATCACGTGTCAAAAACAGAGATTTTACAGTTTTGTTTACCTTATAATAAAGCACAATAACAAATTCAAATAGTAGCATTGTAATATTTCGAAAATTTATGGTAATTTGAAAAATACAAACAAAAAAGTAACTTACTTTTGCAAATAATTCGCACACGTTGCACTAAAATAAATTAAAACACGTTGATACTTCAACACAGTCGCGCGTGCACTGGCTGAGAAAGTGTTGCGCGCGGGGGGGGGTATCAGACTTGTAAGACATGGCGGGTATCTCTACTAGTTTCGTCAATGTGAGCGTGATCCACTTCGCCCCACCGATTCACTGTCAACCACTTGACCCTATCTATGTTTTAGGATAAATACTCAGTAAAAACGGTCATTTATCGGGTAAAAACCCATCTCTAGAATCGGGCCTAAAACTCTGCTTTCGATTAATGGATCGATACAGTGGTAACCACAGACATATATGTCTGTGGTGGTAACTCTTGACAAAGATTAATCATGAAAATAGTATAAGCATTGTACAACATTGTAGAAAGAAAAAAAAAATTATTTGGTAACAAATATAATGGTAACACTAAAAAATTACAAAATGACAAAATAAAGTAAACACAAAGTAAATTATACAAAGGACTTAACATAAAACAGACACAATTACGTAATTATACATTTTACCAAAATGATCACCACTCGGCTTTTTGTAACGAGATGTTGGAGGACACCTCATTACACTGGTTTTCAGTAGAGCCACAAATGGAGAAAAAGAAAGATAGCGCCTCGTCCAAGTAAGGGTACTTGGTACTTGGGTATTTAAAAATTAAAAATGAAATAAAATTAAAAAAATTTAAAACTATAAACCAATCCCAATACATATACTTATATCATGAAAATAATACAAAAAGTAGAAACGTTATATGATAAGCTAAACTCCTTCCTCGTCCATAAAATGCTATAAGCTGAACGTTTCAAACAGGCTTATGGTAGTAAAACAAAATGGGAAGCTATGACGAAGAATGAAACGATATAAGTACAACAGAACTAAAATAAATCTATGCCGCAAGCTATATCACTTTTATAATGAACCCTAAAAACCTTAGAAGATGGAAAAAAAACAGACACCGAGGAAAACAAAAGTCCAATCAGTTACCATAGCAATATGCACCACAAATAAAGAGGATTGACGCATACATAACAATCGATGTAGAAATTGTAAATTAAGTCGTAAATTCTCAAAATAGGATAGTGCGCTAAGAGAGTACTGCTTATTTCGCTATAATAATTTGGTTGTGACTTGTAATTTGTAGAATTACCCAATGGAGAACTCGGACAGTAATGCTTGGGTATTCGATTCACTCGTTGGTTTCCTGCATGGCCCAGTGTGGAATGTACCTTTGCAGAATTTCATTGAAGAAAAATCCCTCCGTAAGTTTCAATTCCGGTTTCCAATAACAATAATATGTATTAGGGAATAATATGCACTAGGGAAACCCTGTTGTATCGCGGGTACCATAGACACACACATAGACAACTACAAATTACACCCAAACTCACGAGAGAAGTAGGCCATACAAATATTACTCCCGGCCCGGGAATCGCACCCGGGACCTCTGCGTAGCAGTTCAACATGATAACTGTTCGGCCACAGAGGTAGTTGGAGTAGGCGGGTAGACAGAATCTGATAGGTATGTACTTACTTACTTACTCCCTATACACTTTTTTCGGCATCACGAAACTATTTTTAGTAACTTGATTGTTATTGACCTTGAGAGTGCAAGGTGCAGTTATGTATAACGTCGCAATCATACAGCTAAAATTTTAGATAAGTAATTTTGAGGTAGCATAAAATCATAAACGTAATTTTCTTTTAGCATTTGAACCGTCTGATGCAGGCGAAGTCCTCGACAGGCCCGAATACAAGAAAATTCACATCGAATATCGTAATTTGGTAAGTTAAATGGCATGATAAATGTTTGACATATCGTCCCACTCCAAGGCCCTGATTTTAATTCAAATTGGAATCGATCCGATCGAGTAGCCCAAAAGCATTATTTTACGCCTCGACTCGGAAAAGACGCAGTTTCCGATCGGGAGAGGCAATAAAAATCAAGCTGCAGGACGAGCCTCTCCAAATCGCTACACAGCCTGTACTTTGAAATCAATATGTAACAACGTGCAGAGTAGCAGGTACTAATGGCATACGAACGACTTCAAAATTTAAGATTTATTTTAGGTGGACGTAATGTTGGGTTCGTTCATGGACGACATCGGCATAACTGCAGACCAATTCGAAGCAGCGTGTCGACTATCAGCGCGCGACCTCGCAGGCCTCCCTGCCCATTTTCACCGTCGCTTGTTCGAGCAAATCTGGGCGGCTAACGATTACGAAATGTTCGTCAAAATGATGACACATAAGAATGTTGAACTTCAACTACAGGTAGATCAGTAACTTTCAAAGTCAACACTCAAAATAAAGTTGACCACGTAACATTGAGTGTAACTAGTTCTAGTAGTTTACAGTGTTGTTTATAGTATCTTTGTAAACTTGTCATTTTCTCCATTGGTGCAAAATATTTTTTAGGCTTTAGAACTTATCGAACGTCGCTATGGTGCCATGCCTAGCTTATTCACAGCCGATCCTGAAGACTTGGACTCATCCAGAAGCGATGAAAGTGAGCAATGGCCTGATAACGATGACGTCATGACGGAGATTAAAAAGTGGGTAGTATTTGTAAATATATTTTGAATATAATCCATTTTATGTACAGTTTAAGTGCTCAAAATTTACAAAAATCTACTTTACCTCAGGTTGCAGTTAGAAGAAATGGAGTCGGCAAACGAGATAGCCAGTGTACCTCCAGAAGAAATGGTAGCTGAAAAACAAACACTGCTGTCTAAGTTGCACAGCTTTGAGAAAAAGGAAGAAAGGAGCTTGAGCAAACAAACCACTCCAGAGGCAGAGAAGAAAACTCCTGTCATTGAACCTCCAAAGCCGGCACCAAAGAAAATAGAGGTACAATCAAAGGCAAAAATATGTATATTTAAACCATGGTATAATTACATACCACATACATGTGTTTAGGAATTTAAGGTTTAGGCACCGCGCAAACGTGTGTCTTGTGTTTGATACAAACAACCAGCAACTAGAAGCGAATATTCTATTTTCATACAATTATTATTGCAGCTACTGCAACCGACGAGTGTTCGACTGCCGCATCGAGTATTATACCTATGCTCGATGGAGGGTTTCTTATTAAATATAGTATGTAAATAATAGAATATTCGCTTTTACTTGCCACTTGCTTTTATTCAACACCAGACAGACGTTTGCGCGGTGTTATACACTTAATGCGTGTTGGAAACCGAAATATCACTTGTGGCATGTTTACGTTAGTTTTTAACTATAGGAGACCGATCTACGCGAACTTACTATAACTAAATTGAGGACGTCCTAAAGAATGGCCAGGTCAGGAGTACCGTTAACCGACAAGCATGTGTCAAAAGCATTGATGCGTGTTCACAAGGCGAATGGGGTCAGAGTGCAGACGCGGGCGTGGCGGCAGGTGGGGGCGCGCGGGTTTTGGCGTCTTCCCTTTCACAGCACCGAAGCCGCTGCGAGCGGGTAGATCCACACGTCGAAATGGCAAATAGACGCTAGACACTAGACTAGCTTTTCCCAAAGATAACGCCCCCTTGTGGGCGCTGCAGGCCTAAAGGGGTAAGAGGCCCAGAAAAAAAAATGGGGGCGTTGTGTAGAGGCTTAGGGGAGATTTGTAATTTCATCTAGGAAGACTCTTAGTCACCGACTGAGCTCACGACTCACGACTACAACTTGTGAACATCAACTAATATTAATTAAGAGATTGCTCAAACTAACTCGGTTCGATGTTTCTCTCCGTGTAGTCCATATATCTGACTCAGTTTCGCATTTTAATAGTTATTAGTATTCCTAGATAGGTAATATTCGTAATAATAGACCGCGGGCAATCACGTTTTAACAAGTTTTTGTTAAATAACCCGATTTGTGCATTCCTGTATGAATCGGCTGATTCGTAGAATATTTGTTGTTACTTGTTGAGTACGATTGAGCGTCGAATGAGATAAACGAGTTTATGCATGTTTGTCTTATTCCTGTCGGTGCGTTTTGCTTATGCAATTCTATATAAATAACGTAATATTTATTTTATTTTCTTTTGCGGTTTCGCGCGTAATAGATAAGCAGTACTTAAGTTCAACACTTACTTACCGGCCGCTGTAATTGGTGAAATGGCTGAAAATATTGAAGAATCATTGTGCAACCGTCTGAGGACTTGTCAATTCTCAATTCAACTCCATGAGTCCACTTTACCAACTAATGAAGCATTGTTGCTGTCTTACGTGAGGTTTATTAAAGATGAGAAAATATGTGAAGAACTATTGTTTGCTAGAAATTTAGAGACCTATACAAAAGGCGAAACCATATTCAATACATAGGAAAAGTGATGAGAAAGAGATTCCCTTGAAAATATTATATCAGTTGCTACGGATGGCGCTCCGGCTATGACAGGGTGCCATATAGGCTTCATAGCGTACTTAAAAAATAAAATTCCAGATGTCCTTGCTGTACATTGCGTTATTCGTAGACAACATTTGGTTGCTAGAAATTTAAGTGAACGACTATTTAAATCACTGATATATGTCATCAAAGCAGTCGATAAAATCCGTAACAGCTCTTTGAATGATAGATTATTTCATCAGCTTTGTGTTACTAATGACGAAGATTTCAACCGTTTGTTGTTTCATACTGAAGTTCGTTGGCTATCAAGAGGCAATTGTCTGACTCGATTTTACAATCTGTTTGATTCTGTGATAGAGTTCTTGGAAACTAAAGATACAGAATTGCGCAACAAGGTCATTACATCAAAAAATGATATAGCTTGCATGACAGACCTGTACAAATTGTTCAACGACATGAATCTCCAACTGCAAGTGATGAACTAAATTTAATTAAAACAAAAAATGTCGTTGCTGCTTTCGCAGCCAAACTACTTCTACACAAAAAGAATGTGGGCAGACGTGAGTTTCACAATTTTCCGAATTTATCAGTATCCTGCAGTAACGACGACTAGTTTGCATACTGCCAACATTTGGAAAACCTCCACATTGACTTCACCGAACGATACCAGGACATTTTAAACTTGGAAAAACCAGACTGGGTGTTGGATACGTTTTCAAAAGTCAACATTGCAATATCACCTCAGCTGGAAGACGAACTTATAGAATTGACAACGAACGAGGAAATAAAAATCAAGTTCAAAAATAACTACCAAGAATTTCGGCTACAAAAACCGATCCCGCAATTGTACCCTGGATAGTGGTCAATCGTTCAACGATTCTTGATAGCATTCCCATCGTCATATTTGTGTCAACGTGGTTTTAGTGCTGTGACAACGCTGCTTACTAAAAAGAGAAATCATTTGCATGTTACCGATCGTGGTGACTTGCGGCTGTTCTTGAGTATATTGGAACCTGATATCAACGAACTTATTAAACAACATCAGATTCATCCTTCACATTAGTTTTTATATTAGAATCGATTATGTTTGTTTTATTTTGAATAAAAGATACTCTGTCTGAATACTATAAAGTTGCGTTTCAGTAATCATTCTCATTAGCAGGTGTAGCCCGTAAGAGTTAACTTGAAACCTGAGCGCCGTTGTGTACTACCTACTGCGCTCAGGTCTCAAGTTAACTCTTGCGGGTTATAGTAAGTCACGTTTAGAATGAATGTTTAATCTCCGCTAATATAGCTCACAATAAAGTGTTAGTTGTTAGTTGAAGTTATAGTGGTTTTTAAGTAGGTGAAAAAATGGGGGCGCTAAAAAATAATTTATTCTCAAAGTGGGCAGTAGACAAAATAAGTTTGGGAACCCCTGAACTAGACCAAACATTGTGAAAGGTACGGGCGCGCGGACCGAGCCAACAGATCTCGCGGCGCGCGCGGCCACTGCGCAACGTAACGAGCGACTATGTACAATTTGATTTACACGCACCCACGCCTGCCGCCACTCTGAATAAGGACCGTAGCAAGTGGAACTGTTGTTTCTGCTTACCCTTATGGGAAAAGGGCATGAAGTACATTTTATGTATATGTTGGTACCTATTTATTCGATACCCCTTTTAATTTCTTAAAGATTGTACTTTTTAGGTAAGCGAGGAAGAAGTGCGAGTACGTCAGGAGTATCTGAAACAGCAGCGTGATAAACTACTGGCTCTGAAGAAGCAAGTTCGAGAAAAAAGACTTGGAGCAGCTGAGGCTGTACAGGAATCAGGAGGCAAGTTTAGTTACATTAAGGTTTACTGTCCAGTGAGTTTGGAATCGTGTATGTATCGGTGAGATCGTCTCAATGCGTGACATATTAAGCAAATATGCGAGTGGGCCAAGCTTGTTTGACGGCGAATATGAGATGACAAATAAATCTGTGTAGTGGTGGCCACATAATCTTTTCTAGGTGGGGAAGGTTCACAAACAAGCGCAGCACGACCATGTTCAGCCAAGGTAGCACAGGCAGCACTCAAGGGCGCTCCACCGCCGCCGCCACCTGATGCGATGCAGCTGCGTCGGGCTCTGGCCTCCAAATTGAAAACTGAAGTCGTTGACACAAACCATTGAGTGAAATAGAATACGGTTACAAAAGTTGTTTTTTTTTCAATTTATTGGTGTTATTTGTTTTGTTAGCTATTAAAATGATTCTCTACTTTCACAATCACGTTTAATTCTGCCGTTTAGTGATGTATGTTTAATGCTCTGGCCACACAGAGGCGGTAGCGGGGGCGCTTTCCGGTACCGGGATTTTTTTTGTAATGTTCGAGTTTCTTATGCACCCTGCCACTGAAACCGGGTGGCGGGACGGCAGTCCGAACCGAACAGGCGCGGACCGAGCCCGAGGTGAACGCGGAGCGGGTGCGGGCGTGGGAGTTGTATTACATCCAGTTCTATGCAACCGTCCACATAACGCGCTGTGTCAGCCGCGGGGCGTGGTATGGGAGCGGGGCTTTAGTGGGATTGCACGTAGTATTTTTTTTACAACTCTTGATAAAAACACACGTTTTTATCACAGACATATATATGATATATGTCTGTGGTTTTTATTAAGTTTCAGTATGATTTCAACCAAAATTTCTTTTGCGATGCTTCCATAACACTAATAAAAGCAGATATATTTCTTAAAAGTATTATCCGAAAGCGATATGATGCTTTCTTTAAAATCTAAGCAGAAAATGAAACCGCTGCTTTTAGTGCCACGCCGCCTTCGCGCCGCTGGACTATGGAACCGCCTAAGAGAGCCATGCCATAAATGGTTTTCTCAAAAGTCTGCGGAGATACATGTATTATACCTCAAATTAAAGCTAAAAGATCAATCTATACAAATATGTCCCACGGCTATGCCACATGGAGGGAAAGTACCTTAAATACCATTGGTAGAACATTTTACTGAAAGAAGACTTCATTTTGATTTTAAAAACAATTCGTACTGCATTCAAAGATTTTTAAATAATAGCTTCCCAGAACCGGGAATCGAACCCGCAAAATGTGAAAAAAAAAACCGCCTGTAATTTTATTGTACTGATCGAAAGACTCAATCATAAGGATTGTTTTCTTCTAAATAACATAACATCTTAAATAAAAGGAAGACTATGAAATTTCACTTTAATTTGAAATTTTGTTCAGGAAAATGGACAACTTTTTCTCTGACTATGCCGCGCTCATAACATACATTATCATTTCAAAGTATTACTAATGAGTACAAACTTGGGAAATACATATCATTTCCCTATTATAAGTGCATGATAAAATAATAAGGAAATTCACAAAAAAGTTCACAATCACAAAGCGGCTGGCTGATTATAAAATAATAATTTGAAAATTTGTTCCATTTTCAAACGTCTATGTATTCTTTTGTTTTTTTAGTGAATTTCTTTTTCGATTTTTTGCATTGCAATTGTTGTGTGAATATAATTACCATGGCGTATCAACATAATTTGGATTTAATGGAAGCATACTATATGAATCACAAAAACCTATCACTAGCTTAGCAGTGGTACCGCGAATGGTATCCCGATAGAGAAACACCATCTCGATTTATTTTAAAAAGGTCGATGAATAATTTGAAAAAATTAGGACGATTTCATCGTCGCGTACCGCAGCCACAGCACCAAATGATAAACGTTAACCATGATGAACTCGACATTTTGATTTACTTTGAGGCGAACCCAAAGAATTCAGTGAGGGAAGGTGAAGAAGAAATTGGAATTTCAAAAAGCAAAATACACCGCATATTGAAAAAATACAAATTCAAGAGTTATGTTGAAGGGCGATTACTTCAAAAATTACGCCCGGGTGATGCCGAAAGACGACTTATTTTCTGCCACCAAATCGAGAGGCTCATCCGTCAGAATCAAAATTTCCTGACTAACATTATTTGGTCAGACGAGTCAAACTTCAGTAACAATGGAATGTACAACCGGCGTAATAAGTATTTGGTCCAGACAGAATCCCTTACGAATCCGCGAGACTAATGACAGCGTTTTTCATTCAACTGTTGGTGTGGGATTGTGAAAACCCGGGTTCTCTTAATACATTTTTACGAAGGGTATCTGAACACTGAAAAATATTTAGAAATACTTGAGATTTTAAGAAGCGAGATTAATAATCTTGCCGATGCAGAACGACGAAGTCTCATTCTTCAGCAAGATGGGGCTCCGGTTCATAATAGTCGGAGAACAGCGAACTTTCTTAATGAACATTTTTCCTTCCAGGATCGGTACTCATGGACAAATTAAATGGCCTCCGAGATCCCCGGATCTAACCCCGTTAGATTTTTTTTTATGGGGATATGTAAAAGATTTAGTTAACAAGAACCGGTATGAGAGTGTGCAGGAGTTACAAACTGAACTTAGACGTATTACTTTAAACATTCACCATGAAAAGATAAATAAATCAACAGAAAGCGAAATTATGAAAAGAGTGAGAATTTGTATACTACACAATGGGAGACATTTTGAACATTTGATAACTTAAATTGATTACATGTAAGTTGCAATTAAATGTACCTACCTAATTATTTTTCATGTTCTTCCTTTTATTTAAGATGTTATGTTATTTAGAAGAAAACAATCCTTATGATTGAGGCTTTCGATCAGTATAACAAAATTACAGGTGGTTTTTTATTTCACATTTTGCGGGTTGGATTCCCGGTTCAGACAAGCGATTATTTAAAAATCTTTGAATGTTGTTCGAATTGTTTTTAAAATCAAAATAAAGTCTTCTTTCAGTAAAATGTTATATCAATGGTATTTAAGGTACTTTCCCTCCATGTGGCATAGCCGTGGGACATCATTATATCATAGGAAATGAACTATTTTTCCGGATTTAAATCGCGTATATTTGTTTTTTCAAACAAACCGACGTTTCGAACATATACGCGATTTAAATATATATAGATAGATAGAATAGAATTATGTTGTTTCTATCACAAATTAAATCACTTTTCTGCAAGGAGTGAATTTTCCTGTACTAGACGCGACTTATGTCTTGTGTTAATTGAAAGTGATATGAATTATGTTGTTTCTATCACAAATTAAATCACTTTTCTGTAATGAGTGAATTTTCCTGTACTAGACGCGACTTATGTCTCGTGTTAATTGAAAGTGATATGAATTATGTTGTTTCTATCACAAATTATATACGCGATAATTATAACGAATATTCGGAGCCAAATATTGCAAAGATTATTGCAAGTATTCAAAAAAATCTAATTTCTCAATTTCGTCAACGCTTCACCAAATCAGGTAGAAAAAAAGAACAATTCTTAAGCCAAAATAGTGCGGGTTGGATGGCATATTCACCGTGAATCTGGACTAGAGAAGAGAAGAGTCTACTTGCGAATCTGAACCTTCTTCATCGACCGAAAAGCGAGGACGACCTCCTAAACCTTACGAAGACAGTTCAGAGAGAACAAAAAAACGGAAAAATAAGGAATTACTTGAAAATTGTGGTCTTGATTTTATATTAAATTCCTTCCGTCAGGGTCTGAGATCTAATGGTGAAACTGCCGTACTGCCGGTAGAAAAAAAATTAAATACGCTACAATCTTTTATCATTCTTTTATGATCCTGAATCTAGCATAGAAATCAATAACATTAAGGCAAAAATAAAACTGCAAGAATTTTTAGATCACACTACTACACAAGTCCTGCTTGAAGAGACTGAATTAGTTTCCCATGCAAATTTATTTATATTTTTAATAGTGCCTCTGAAACTTGTTGATATTAATACTAAAAAAACTGTGTGGGAAAATCCGTTTCCATCATCAGTAAGATTTTGTCGCCCGATTTTAATGGAATTTTCTAGAGACAGAGCATTAATTTCAGCAACTACACGATAAATTAATGTTCAAATGCCATCCTCTGTGCATAGTCTTAATTCACGGGGAAAGTGTAATTCGGCATTGTTCTGTGTTACCGATTAGACAACTCTCGGAAGATGCTGAAGAGTCAAGAACAAAGATTATAAACGTTTCAGACTTTATCATGCCAGAAAATGCTCTAGAATAGCCACTAATAAAGACATTTTACATACACTTTTGTACGCTTCAAAGACATTTTACATACACTTTTGTACGCTTCGGACCCCTACATAACTAGTCTTAAAAAACCTTATAATAAGAAATCTATGGAGCTTCTAGATGAAGCTTTGGAGCTCCTAGGTGGATTTTAAAATACTTTAAGCTTTTCATTTAATCAAATTGTTTAATTACAATTACTTAAAGATGTTTAATTTTTAAATTTTTATTGAATTGATATTCAATTATATTTTGTGAAATTACTCCACTAGTTTATTATAATTATTAATACAAAGATGTTTAATTTTATTATTTGTAAGTAAACATAGTTTATTTTTTTAAATATTGCTGTTAGTTTATATACATTTTTTTTGTTCATATATTTTTTATAGCTATTCAAAGTCAAAGAATCATTTACACCATAGGTATAATAAATTACACTTGAAAATGTCATTTTATAAGCTACTGCTCGTTCACTATGCTGCCTTTCCTGAGAAGAAAGAACTCTAGTGATTGCTCTTTTCTAATAAACTTATATGCTACTGAATACACTTTGAATCAAATTTGTGCAGAATCTAGACCCATATCGTCTTTCCACACATCTTTATCTAACACATAGTCTTCAATTTTGTAATATGACCTTTGTAATTGCTTTTACTTTCTATTTTATTAAGTTATTAAAAATATGTTAATACCTACAAAATGTATATTAATTAAAAGTTTTTTTGGATATTCAAGAATATCCAAAGAAAAAATCACGTAATTATCTTAGAAAACTTAGAAGTTATAGATTTATGACATGAAAATGACTCAATCTCCCCATAGTGCGCTGTCCCGCCGCGAACTACACGTGAGACTGCTGTGTACCACGCCCCGGTAAGTTCGCTTCCCGCAGGTCCGCCCCGGACCCCTTTTCCCGCTGTACCGCGTTTGTATGACCCGACCTAAGTTCAGGTAAATGAATCAATAAAAACCATCAGTTTATATCATGTACCTTATATTTATATTGCTTACTTAACTAGTGACATCATAATAATAGCATTATAGTAAGCTTATTTATTTTACACAACTTGCCAATAAGTAAAACTATTTAAATTTTAATTCTGTGTATAAATTAGTTTACGATGGTCATCCACCTAGACAGATAAAAAATATTCATCGTAACAGTCTACTTTTACCTAGAACTTCGTATTAAATGGGGAAATTATTTCAAGGAATATAAGAATCGTATAAATCTAATTGACAGCTCGATGCTATGACGTGGATGTTAGCAGATTACGAAACATAATTATTACATAAAGCATTATATATTTACAATATATTTTGAAAATTCATTCCGTGTATGTAATAATTCATTTCGCCTCACCTTTACTGTACATGTTAACGCCGGTTGATAAAAAAAAATCAAACCTGAGTCCACAATACTGGAAGCGCGACCCTCATTTAATAATTAAGATCACATCAGTGTTTTATAGTGTTTTATTCGTAAAAAGAGATCCAGAGTCCCCTTAACTTCGGATACATACGAGGATTGATATGTAGAAAGTGGACAGTTTGTGTAAATGTTTCAGATATCAGAAACAATTACAGTTAGGGACTCAGTATTTGAAATGATGAAGGACAAGACGGCTGGAAAAAAGAAACCAAAATTTACTTTCACTGAAAAGAATACTATATATAGTAAAAACATATTATCAAAATTGATAATTCCAGCCCACACTAAGTAACAAAAATACGTGCTACGATTTTATGCCATACCCTTGATCTATGTCGCCAGGATGTGAAAAGTATAAATTTTATAAATTATGCAACAATGTCTAAGACGTTAAGAAGTGCTTGAATACTTTGGTCTTCACATAAAAGCATATATCTGTAGATAAAAGTTTATTTTAATCCTTATTACATAAGGAAGGGAAGTGTGTAAATGCAATACACAAACTAATATTTAAATGATAAATACGACGCTTATACGTAAAAAATAGTTTGGACCACAAATGTCGTGTTTCTGGCGACAAGTGATCGTGCAAGCAATAAATTCATTGATGATAGTCCGAAACGCGAGTTGATCACCGGATTAAGTTTACAAAATCTAATATTATTTACATAATACGAATGATAAAACTAGAGGTTAACAGTAATAAAATAAAATGGTTCTTAATCAGATACTTATATCACATACACATTACTTCTGTAGTGTAAAAAAATCTACAATCATAAGCAAGGAAAGGAGATTATTGTCGAAATAGTGGAAAAATTTATTTCGTAATTTATTTTATTGACAAAGAATGTATATTACAAAAAAATATTTAAAAAATGTTAATAGTCGGATTTTTAATTATCGATAACAAACTGACAACTGTCATTTAAAAAAAAAAATGTTAATTTGTTTATATAGTTGACTTTGGTTCAGTTTTACATTGTAAACTCATTGAAACAGAATCAATCAAAATGAAAAGTTAAAGATTTTTTATTACTATTAATCTGTTAAACAACATTTTATTTACATTTAATTTCTACATAGTGCTATATTTTTTCTAATATCCAAATCTCAATTTTTTTTCAATTAAAAATCAAATTATTAAAAAAATTACCTTGAAAACCTACTGAGTCAGTGAAGTCGCCCTTTATAACAACACTATTTTGATTTCATCAGCAACATTAGTTTATTATCTGTATTTAAAAATTCGACTACACGTTACAAATTGTGTGGTTTTTTTTCGGTTTCACTATGGCGACATCAACGCATCTCTTGCATAAAGATTTGAATTTAAAACTGAAAACAAGAAAGATAAACTTTTCAAAAAGTTAATAAACATCCTCATAAAACGGCAAAGTAATCTTTTAATACATTTCTAGAATAGATTATGGTGTAGTAAAACTCAGATTTTAAGAATGTTTCCATCAGCACAAATTATATAGCTAATTACAAACAAAGTTTTGTATACTTTTTACCTGAGAGAACCGACAGGATTTCTTTCTCTCCGCTTGGTTTAAAAGACTTACTTACGTTTAATGCACAAATGTCCATTAACTTTAATGCTTTACTAGGTAAAACTTTAAAAAGCAGGGTAAGTTCTGCTTTGGTATAGAAGAAAAATAGTATTATGGTTAACTTAATGTCTTAAATTTACAGAACTATTCTACAACTTGGTAAACTTTAGACATTGATTTGTCCTTCCAAACAGCATAAATCATCAAAATAATCATTTTACTTTCAAAATTCAGATATTTATACCTAATGTCACACTTTCGTTCTATAAAGAATTTATTAAACATTCTGAATATTTCAACGTAGCATACATACTCATAACACACAGAACGAAAGAAGGACATTACGAATGTGAATGTAATTTTAATGTAGGGTCACGTGGGTTAAGAGGAACACTGGGGGACTCACAAATAGTTTAGCACTATATTCTCTCAGTCGATAATGCGGACACAAATTAGTTTTAATGATTTTAAAGAGAGGTCGCTACGGTGCTCCAAACCCAAACACTATTCCTCTTACCACCATCTTTTGGAGGGAAAAAAAGTTAGCACAATTTGCACGTTTTCTGCAAATACATCGTAAGTATTAAATTTGGCGTAATGATTGTCAAAACATGTAAAACTGATGAACAAAGACACGTTTAGTGCACTTCAAAATTCTTATAAGACTTTATAGTCTATCTTGTTTAAAAACGGAGTAAAATAACAGTTCAAAAGTGTTGCCCACTTACGAGTAGCCAGTGAATGCAGTCGACAAATATTACATTGACTATTATTATATAATTATCGATTGAATATTGGTCACGCTTATGGAATAAATAGCCGAACTTATTTCATTTGAATCAGCCTTGACCATTATTCATTCAGTTACAGAGCACAATTTAATTTTAATTGTCAATTTTTTGTAACTTCCAACATACATACATACACTGTATTCAGAACTATGTTTGAAAAATACAAATACGAGACATATTTTAATGTTTTTCATTTTAATTCAATATAGATAATCAAATCCGGCTATTCTAGTTAAAATGTATACGAATAAAAAAAAATTATCTCGATATTAGTATGCTATCTGTCAAAATAAGAATAAGGAAGGCAATAACGCAATAAGTAATCATTAGGTCGTAACATTCATTCGACAAAACTATCGACAACTACGTAACTATTTAAAGTTTTATGAAGGCTGGCAACCCTACAGATGTCTTTTTACTCAGTCTTCAAAACAGACTAGACTATATCTGTTTATCTGTCTTCCTAGAGTTCAAAACATTTGACTCAAAATAAAGTATGTTCCTCTTACCCCACTTGACTATAATTAGATAATAAATTTTTCCACTTTCAACTAGTGTTGAGCTTCTCAGGGATACGTTTATCGTCAGTAAAAAAAGTGCTAATAGGTCAACGGCGTTCAGTATTTCGATCATTTATCAGTTATTTCCAGCAGTCTCCTTGACAGTGCCTTTAAAACATTACTAAGATTTTACTGTTCATGAGTCGTTTTCAGCACCTTCTCAGCAACGACTTCCGGCTTTGTGAAGCAAATACTGACACCATCTATAGAGTACCTTCAAATTAAATTAATTCTTGATCTGTAGTCACGAAACTGAAGAATTAAAAAAAACTATATTTATTAGTAAATAGTAAAAAAAAACTCTCACATAAGAACACTTTTAGGCGTTTATCAACTTTGTGTCAAATCTTCCTCGGTTATACTAAACAGTTAACAGAACAAAAACAAAATTTGAAGTTAGACTACAGACTATAAGATGCAAATACGACGCTGTAAAAAAACTTTCTATTTGTCAAAAAAGAGTCTTCTTAATAATTTTAAGTCTGTATAATAATTTTACGCATAATTATTATGTGTGTAACTATGCGCAAAGATATTATAACATATAATACAAAACCAGACAAAATGCTGACCGCCGTTGATTAGTGTGATGTAACCCCTAACTGTGGTGGCCGTGAAAACGACACACACGGCTTAACTTGACAAAAAACAAAGCCTATATTAACAATGAAAAGGACATTAAAATGTTAAAATACATTAGTATTTTTAACAAATTACTTTAAAAATTTGTATAACAAAATCGCCTCAGTGTTTATTAATTAGGGCCAGGGCTAGTCGTTACAAAATACAAAATGTTTAGATGAAACATAAATTATAACGTGCTAAAATGAGTATTCCTTAGGATAAATTGTTTGTAGGATTTGTTTGCTTGATAAACCTTAATGTTATATATCGTAATCAGATGTACCACCTAAACCTTGAATATCGAACAGAATCTAATATAATCTTCTATTTGTATATAGGCCCCTTCGCAATAAAAAATGGATGTCACCTTTTTTTTATATATTAAAAATCAAAAATAAAATATCTCTTAAAAGCTCAACACGAAATAATAAAGGAATGCAAATAAATTACCTGAAAATAAATCAACAAGAGGCTAACTCTGCAATAATGCCCACAAATGTTAAAATATAATTTTCTTATTTCTTTCTTTTAAATTATTTCAGAAGATAGATTCCTAATTGGAGTAAAAACGACTGTGATATCAATACGATTTCTAATATAACACCCTAGTGAGTAGCAATTCCACAGCGTTATTAAAACTCTTTTTAAAGGAAGATTGGTCTCGTGATCGTTAATTATGAAATCAGCTATATCAATACGTACACTTAACACATCCATGTCGCGGTTGTTTCGTCTATTACAAATCCCCATTCATATTTTCTTTGTACTTTTGCAACTACAGTCCTTCGGAGAAGTAACTTAGATGTTATAATTATTTCACATAAAATACACTTTGTAACCAATATTTTGTTCTACATTCTGTTGCCAACTGAAGTAATTACACTAGAAAATATGTATCTATGAAGATCTTCATATGCTAACTAAATTGTGAAGTTGGACACTGTCAGCACTTCATATTTACATAAACGGACAATTTCTGCACGTGGTGTTTCCGAGGTGTAGACATGCAGTAATTAATTAATTAGTGACAAATTAAATTGCAAGAACATCGGGACGTGTATTATTATTTCAGTTGATATAATAAATATTGTGAAATATTGAACCTTATTTGACGACTCAATCGTTTTATTTCTGAGGACGGCGTACATATGTTCCAACACAATCACCGATGAAAGTATACACTGCTTAAGAATTAATCCTAAATCAATGCAAAGCAAGAAGTGTACAAACTTGATTAGCAACTATGTCGGTTGCAACAGTACAGGCGCTGAACATACCAACCCAAATATCTATACATTATTTCCTCTTCAATTCTGATCTTCAGTTACCCAGTGAAGCTAATGCTCACGCGCGAAACTCTGAATAAAACGAATGAGTCGCGCTAGACCCGTGATCCGGCAGTACCTGATGGCATTCCAATTCACTGGGTAATAGCTTGCACAGCAGCGAGACAGGGCGGACAGCTTATATTCCTTGAAATGCTCTAGGGCCCTACGCCAGCCGTGGCCGCTTGGCATCTCGCTCTTCGCTACTACTTGTACCACCCCCTCCTCCACTTCCCTCTTCTTCTTCGTCAGAGTCACCGTCGTAGTCCACGAGACCCTATCAAATTAACAACTTTAGTATTTGTTTATTCTTCTATGAATGACCACCTGCTATGTATATCTTAACTGTTTAACAATAATTGAAATATAACTGACATATTTTTAATAGCGATAATAATCGTCATTACATTTATATAAACAAGTGCCCTGTAAACCAAAAGCCCTACTTATACGACAATAAATTCATTATATGCTTTAAATGGTAAATTTCCTGCTTTTGCATCATACAACATTTCAAGAACGATGCTAAGAAAATTAAGCACTCACTAACGAAAGTAAATATAAAGATATACCTTACCTAGTCTGATTTCGAAAGTTAATTTGAGGACTAGTACAATTTTATTTTATTCTGAAAAGCAGTTAGTTATACATAAATTTTTGATGAATCATATGCAAAGTTCGAAAAGCGAGCAAGGAGCATTGTAATCTTTAAATCAGAGACAGAAATCGGAAAACTTTATAGATGCTTCAGCGTGTGCCTAATTGAACACAAAACCCATGCATAGACGATCGAATTTACAAAGTTTTTTTGTCGGTACTTTACAAATTCTATATTACTGGCATGTATTTTAAGTTCAATTCTATACGCGCTGAAACTCTATCCATCAACAGTCATTGGCAACTTTTGTCTTTAAATGCCGGGAGGCGTAAACGTACTGGGGCAACAAAAGTAGTCAGACTTACTTTTGTTGCCATAGTACGTTTTTGTTTTACGAATTTGCTGTCAACTGCTGAGCTGGGATCTCGGTCGAAACAAGGAGAAGGCAGGAGGCCCGACTGAGTGATTATAATGTTGTCTTTTTCGGTCTCTGCTTTAAACATGCAGTACTATGAATATGGCTTGGTGTCCGGTACATGCAAGTAACACGGGACAGGAAGTTAGTAAAAGCTTTCGTTCACTAGAGAAACAAGTAAATATATGACAAATAAGATTAATGGAAGAATACATACATAGACGTTTTGGATCATAGAAATGAATTTTTTTTTTCAATTCCAATCTATATTGAGCCCCAATTCAATTTCCCAACACATAACCACATCTCAGGTTTATGTTACTCCCCATTGTTGGTTATGGAACTACTAATTTTATACTAGCAAAAAATTAGCAATTTTTTGTTCATTAGTCATGTTGTCGAAAAACAAAATCTGTTAGCATACATGTTTATAAATTTTGGAGCCTGCATTTTTCGCAAGCGATAAACGCAAAGTTTTTAAAACCTATCTCCTTTATTCCCATGATCCACGATGATTCCCCAGCGAAGCGAGCAGAGAGGCTTGAGGGAACTAAAAGTTTACCTTATTGAGTAATCTGGGCGAAGATACCTGAACGTCAGTGTGAGTCGGCTTGGCAGCCGCAGTGGTGCTAAGCATCACTCTACTAGGGCCGTTCACGGCCTCTGGGGTCGAGCATACTTTCTTATCAACTATTTTGCCTGAAACAATCAATACAAATTGCTTAAAACGTAGACAGACACATTTTACGCCATCGTTATTTATTTAATAGTTTATTGTACAGGAAAAACAATACAAAAAATCACAATACAAGGAAAATACAAACAAAAGGTTCTTCTTACTTCTAAAAGAAATTTCTTCCTGCAGATCTAAATACAGACACAATAACTAAAAGATAAAAGAACGGGCTTACGTGCACAACAAAACAAAAAATAATAATGTAGCACAAAAACAATATAATAATATTAAATTATTATAAACTATATAAATACTATTTCATAATATACACTCGCGAGCAACCAAATCGACTCAAGCGCTACCTCTACATTCAAACATTGTTCTATATAAAAGTATACAACATTTCAATAAAAATAATATGCCATTTGAAAGCTTGAAACCTAAGCTTTAAAAAAACATCAATATCAATAAATAAAACAAGTACCAACATGTTCATTTGCGCAATTAGGGAGAATGGGACTAATTACTACCTACGCTACCTGCTAGTTGCGCTACCCTCTACCCCTATAAAAACCCCCGTGACCCTTGAATCCTTATCAGTCGCTTATCAACAGTTGACCGATACACATCTCCGCAACCTGCATTCATTGTTTTCAAGAAACCATGGATACCACACCTCAAGAAGCCGCTCAAGTTGTAGCCTTATTGCAACAAGGACTCAGTCAGCGAGTAGTGGCTTCCCAGCTTCACTTGAGTCAATCTGCTGTATCCCGAGCATTCACTCGGAGACCAACAACCAGCCGCCACCGTTGTACTTCTGAAGGAGACGACCGTTTCATTGTCTCAACCACCCTGCGAAATCGGCACCTTACGGGTGTCGACGTGCAGGGCGAGCTGAGACGTGTTCGAGGCGTAGCTGTCAGTGAGTGGACAGTAAGAAGACATCTTAAGGAAGCCAATCTGTCTCCAAAAAGGCCTGCAACAGGCCCCAAATTGACTGCAGGCCACCGGCAAGCTCGGCTACAGTTTGCTCGAGAGCATCTTAACTGGAGCTTTGGGCAATGGCGGTCGGTCCTATTCACTGACGAGTGCAGGATGTGTCTGCATGGCAGTGACAGGAGAGGCCGGGTCTACAGGCGTCCGGGAGAGCGATTTGCCCAATGCTGTTTCGCAGAAACCGTTGCCTATGGTGGCGGTTCTTGCATGATGTGGGCTGGTATCTCGTTGGAGGGTAAAACCGAGCTCGTTTTCGTGCCTGGAGGAGGCCGAGGAGCGGGACTGGGAGCTGATGGGTACATCACAAATATTCTCCTGGAACATGTTGTGCCCTACGCAGGATTTGTTGGCGAAGACTTCATCCTAATGCACGACAATGCTCGATGCCACACAGCGCGCGTTACTCAGGAGTTCCTTCAAGAAGTCGATTTGCGCACAATGGACTGGCCTGCGCTAAGTCCAGACCTAAATCCCATCGAGCATTTATGGGACGAGCTCAAACGAAGGGTACGAGCAAGAAATCCAGCTCCTTCGAGCCTGGAAGAACTGAAGGCAGCTTTATTAGAGGAGTGGGAAGGTATTCCTCAAGACAACGTCAAAAAACTAATAAGATCGATGAAGAATCGATTACGTGCTGTAATTAGGGCTAGGGGAGGCAATACCAAATATTGAATTAATAAATTTTATACTTCTTAAGAAAAAAACGTGTTTTATTTGTGTCAAACTCCTTTACCCAAAATCCCATTTTTCTCCCATTTAAGTTCAGACACCGGTAATAAAAAAAAGTATACATGGATATTAATAATGACGACATTTCCTAAAATCTGAAGTTTCAAGCTTTCAAATGGCATATTATTTTTATTGAAATGTTGTATACTTTTATATAGAACAATGTTTGAATGTAGAGGTAGCGCTTGAGTCGATTTGGTTGCTCGCGAGTGTATAATACCTAAGATAAGGATGGAATAGTAGATAAATAATGTTCTTAACTCTCATTGTAGAATAGCTAATGATTTACTTTCGTGAACAATAATAGGAAGTGTGTTCCAAAGTCTGATCGCACGAACAGTGAAGGAGTGTGAATAGAAAACGGAATTGAAGCATGGAAAAGATAACTGGGACCTAACAAGAGAGCGACAGGGCTTATCCTGGGACCCAAGAAAGCTGGAGCACTCTTTCAGGTACCTGGGAGACACACATGGTTATATAAAATATTGTAAAGAATGGACACAATATGCAAGTTCCTGCGGACACGAATGGGTAGCCACTTGAGCTGGCTTTGGTAATGTGAGATTCAGTCATAGTTACGAGTACAAAGATAAACCTTATATAAAGGCTTTGCAATCGTTCAAGCCTATTTAGCAGCTCTTCAGTAGCATCGAAATAACAGAAATCTGCATAGTCTAAGAAGGGCAAAAAAGAGATTAGGCTAAACACATCTTGGTTTTTAAGTGTAAAAAATTTTGGAGGTGTTTAAGTGAGTGAAGAAATGGACTTTTCTATTGACTTCATTAATATGTGGAGTCCAAACCTAACTACAATCTAAAAGCAAACCAAGTTAGTTGCAGTAGAAGCATAAGCAATAGGCGTGGAATTATACTCTTTAGATGCAGTATCTAGATCCAATGTGCCATGCATATACCCACTTCCCACAATCATAGCCTGTGACTTTCTAGGATTTACCAACAAACCAAAAGATTCTATACATTTTTTATTTGAGCGATTTTATACATCTATTGCATAGCAAATATGATAATAAGTGCTGAAGATTAAGATTTAATTTTTGTTAAAAAACTTGAGCCTCATCTACAATGAGCAACCATAAAAAAAATATATTAAAACTATACTTAGAATTATTATTAATTAAAAAACTTCTATTATTTACACTACAATTGCTTCCTTTCATTTCATTTTCAGTAGATGGATGTTATTGTAGTACTATAAAATATTTGTGATACGAACCGATGGCGTCAAGCGCGTGATGCGCGTGCGGATGCGGGTGAGGGTGCGGGTGCGGCTGTGCTGCTTCGAGCGGCGCGTCGTCATCTAGCTCATCGTCGTCATTGAACCACATCTCTTCCTCGTCGTCAGGAGTGCGCGCCTCCCGACGATACCGCGAGCGAAGTAACGACGGAACTACCGCTTCTGTTACCCCCACGCTCCCGCTCACTGGAAAATGGAGAGTACAGTCTATCAATAAGTAAACCCTCTACGACGTTACGCAAAAGCTGGTAGGGTGAGTAAGACCGTCGTGACGAAGATGCGAACGTCAACTGTCCAACACGCCTAAATTGTGTAAGGGTGTGTACAAATCTGGCGAATGCGCTGCATGTGGGTTGCGCTCGTGCAGTTATGTGTGACTATGTAATAACATCTCACACAAGTCACGCAAAACGGCACGCGAACAGATCGCAGCGTACTGCAGTACTGATTTACGTATAATACACATGCGCTGCTCTAGAGCTTTTTGTAAACAGGCGCATTCATCAGATCTGTTCGCACCGTTCAGTTTTTTTTATGCTGGCAAGTGACGGACGGGACGAACAAGTCCTGTCCATAACAGTTGCAGTGCCACTCAGAGCTTGAAATCGCAAATATTTGAAGAGCACTGCCACTGCGCCCGTCACCCTGAGACATACCGTTGCAAGAAACCGTAATAGTTTTCGTTCAGTAACTTCAATTTTTGACAGGTGTCAACGTCAAATGTGGACGACAACTTCAAAACGTCAAAATTAAATGAAATATATTGGGTAAAAATCCGGAAAAATTTTCATTTTTCTATGCAGAAGCCAATGACACGCCATATTGTATTGTTGATGAATTTCTCGTAAAGGACACATTCTATGAAATAAACACATTCTAGCAGTATCCGATTGACCCGCAAAAATACAACGCGACCTTTGTGTTAAAACAAATCTGTACAAAATTATGTTTTTTGTTACTATCTAATAAAACCCCCAGATGGAATAGATAATGTTACTTGTTTTGAATAGTACGACACAAAAAAAACTGCACCAAGAATGTAGTGTAGTGTGCACAGAGTAATGTGGAAAAGAATAAAAAACGATTCTAACCTAACTCACCTCGCTCCCTCTCCTTCAGCTTATCCTGGTGTTGGTCATATCGTGCTTTTAAGGCCTTAAAAGTTTGTACATATTCAACGTCATCCAAAATCTTTCCATAGTTTTCCACAACATGTGAACATAGGGTTTTGATGTCTTCCAGCTTGATGAATTCGAATAATTCTAAAATTGCGGAATCCAATAAATTATATCTGAAAAATGATGTAAAAGTACCAAATAACTATCCATTGTTCATTTCTATTACATCACGGCGGTGTTATTGGATTACTTCAGCTTGAAAGCAAAGGAAATAGTGTATCTAAATGTCGAATATAATAACATCATTACAAAATATCAGGAAAACAATTTAATTATATAGCATGCAACTCACAGAAGGAGAAAAACAATGGAAGTGCCTTAAGCCTTGATTACTCTCAGAATCGCTCAAAGACTCAAACATTCGTAATTTTAAACTCTATGAAATCTTGATAATGACTGGTAGGTAGTAGTTTCTAATTTAAAAAAAAGTAACAAATTCTAGACTATTAATATAATGTAAACTTTACCCTGTTGGCATATCATACAAAATTCAATACCTATTATAGCAAGTTACAACATTTTGATTTTATATTGAAATTTCAATCTAGCTGAAGGATTATGAATTCAAGATGTTTACTAAGTTCTCTAAAAAAGAAGCGACCGAGAGCGAAAGGTTTACTTCCGTTTCTTGTAACAAAAATTTATTACGATAAACAGAAAATTAAGAATTTATTAAAATAATAAAAATAACATTTAAAGATGATATGAAACACCACCACGGACAATATTACGGTGACAACTGCGCTCCGACTGGCCGGTCCAAATTCGAAACAATTGACTGATTTCGTCAATTGTTTCACTTCAAATGGACGTTCACATAAAATACATATTTAATATTGCTAAAATACATATTTAATAATTGCTGATGAAATGTGATTCCGTTTGTTTAGTAATTAGATGTTTTGCTGTTTTTCCCACACTACCGAATGGAACAGCCCCCCATTGTTAGAGATATTATTTTTATTATCATAAATACAGAATATTTTTGAGGCTACTACGACTACTTATTTTATTTCAGCTTTCCCAATTGTGATTTCAGTGCAAACGAGAGTTGATATTCAAAAGTGACATACGGCCTATTTGCCTGATGAATTGCCAGGGATGGATGGCCCTTATTTCATCTCTATTTCTGGTTATATACTCCATACTAGGTGTAAACTCGTTTTGCATTACAAGCAAAATCCCTAATATTAATGCACAACATTTGCAACAGCCAGCAGAATTTTCTACAAAATCATCAACCTGTTGCTCTTAAACACAAATAATAAATGAATGCAAAAGTTGAACAATATAAGAAGACATGTTTAAAAAATAAAAAGTTATTAAGTTTAGTATTGAACACAACTAGCTTGTACTCCCTAACAAATAACTGATAAAGGCTTGATTAACAATGATTCGAATTCAAATCTCAAAGCCCAAAAAAAAAATTATTTTAGCATTCCTTGTAACTGGCACTAACCAATTAAAAAATATATCATTACACCACACGAAGAACTGAAAAAAGCTATTGTACAACTATTATACAAGAGGTGAATAATCGAGCAGTGTACAAAGTGATGACTCACCTGCCATTATTTCTAAGAAAGGCGTCTATGACAGGCGCGAAGAGATTTCCTTTAATGATGTATCGGTTGTAGTACTCATCCTTGAGAGCTGTGATCTTTCTCATAAATCGCAGCGCGCCAAGAACCAAGAATGTGTGGGTTGATCTCATGAGCACTAGAATACGGCGGAGCAGGTCCTGTAAATAACAAATTTGTCAATAATTACTTGCATATTGGAAGCTTAATCGATAACAAGCCTAGCGGTTGACAAATTTCGTCACTTTAGCGACTGAGGTAATCATGGGCTTACACAAGGGATGCGCGATAGTGCCATTCCCGTGACTTACTGCATACGAAAAATGCGAAAGTAATACTTAGGTACCTTATTCAATATGCACGTCTTGATATGGTATGTGTGATGCTCAACACAGAAAGATAGAAGCTCGAGCACTAGCCCCAATAGCTGCACCGTGTGGTAGTCTTCTTTCAGAGGTTTTTCGCCCATTGTATTCTCCAGAAGTGGAGCTGAAATGACCATACAATTGGAAATAAAATGGTTAGGTACTAGAGCCGATACACTTGTAGATAATAATTTACTGGCATAATGCACAAAACAAAATCAAATTATAAAATTGTTTTAAAAATTTAAAAAAACCAACTCTAAACTGAATTGACAGCATTGCAAGTACATATGATTATTTACATATTACAGCAGTCCCCGTTAAATAGAGCAAATGTATATGATCATAGATCAAGGTCAAACATTACCTACCTATCAATGTCTGTATACTGTGTTTATAGAAGAAATTGAGGAAGTCTGCCTTTTCACTCTTGTTCACTGAGGCTAGCATGCTTTCAGGGTCCAGTAGAATGCGAAGAACACCCATCAGCTGTACTGCTCCTCCCAGTTCAGGGTCACGGTCACGAAGCATTTGCTCTATTACTATATTTAGCAGCATTTGCTCCTGAAAACACAGAGTAGATTGATTGTTAATATCACACACATAGCACTGTCAAGGTTATTGAATGTCAAAGACTAGCACACACCTCCTCTGTATTATTAGCCTGTTGCAATGTGTAATCCCTCACAACTGATGGTGAGAACTCCACTATATATGTCAAAATGTCTATAGAAGCAGTCTTGGTCTTCTGATCGTCTATACTTAGAGTAATTTCTAAAGCTGGAAGGATCCCCAATGATACTAATGTTTTGTAGAATGCATCCTTATCTTGTGGTTGCAAATTTTGTGAAAAATTACAGAATTCCTTTAAAAATAATACTAAATCTCGTCGCTTTGTGTCAGGTGTTTTATCATCCATAAGAAGTTTAAATAAATCTGTCAAGAATTTCTCATCCTCTTCTATAAGTTTCACTATTTCTACTTTATTGAAAAATATAAAACTTGATAATGTGCTCAACAGGTTGTCTTCAAAAACTGTGGGAGTAGGCAACACTATGTCTTGTATATACTGTACTCTGTAGGTCTGGTGTATTTTAGCAAGTAGGTCCTTATTCTTGATGGGGATGGCCTCACGGAATTTTGCTAACTCTTTAAGGTACTCCCTGTGCTTCTTGGGTTGGGGTAACCCAGGATCATATTCTAGACAGCCCACCACATCAAATATAGTGTCGTCTGCAAACATTGTATCAAAGAGTGTGTTTTTATTGAGAAGGAATATACTTTTAAAGATCTCATAAAGGTGATGCAACCCTTCAATGTTTTCAACATCTTCACACATATTGAAAAGATTCAGGAGTTTCTTTATGTAGTGCTGACTTTCTAGTGCTGCAGCAAGTTTGTCTTTGCGTGCTGGTGAGACCAAACAACTGTTGACCAATTCGCTGATGTCTTCCAAACGGCCCATTTCACATGCTGGTAATTCAACAGGCTGGACACTGTCTGACATTTCATCATATCTTTCATCTTCTGACTCTTCTACAATATCTTGAGTGATTTCGACTGATGGATCTTTCCCTTGTACCTGTAAATAAAAGTCCACCGTAAAGATGTGTGATCTACAGGATAAATAAGATTTATGATCCTATTGTTTGGTATTTTGTTTTAAGAGTTATTGTGTAAGTTTACCTGACATATTTTTTCCCAAATTTCATCACAGCCAGCCTTTTCTTGAAAACTTAATGCTAGGTCAAAATTATCACCTTCTGACCAAACTATCAATGTATCTTGCTGTTTTTGATAGGCAGTGTCAGGCTGGATTTTGCTCTCTAAGAGGAGGGAGCCATCTGACTCTGCTCTCACTAATAGAGAAGTTCCTTTGAGTCTCTCCACATAGCAAGAAGAGACGTGTCCTGTTCCTCTATCGTCCCATTGCCGGTCAGCGTTCAGAGCATAAAGTTTAACTCTTCGTCTAGTGTCCGTCATTATAGTCAGTGCTTTTACAACTATGTACGCAAGTAATGAATCAATTATTATGGCGCTAATCTATTGCACCCGAGTAATAATTATTTAACTCCCATCTGTGTGAGCGCATGTGCACTTCTGTAACAAACAAACATATTGAAATCGTTTTAACACAACAAATATTCAGAAGTAATTACCGCAATTACAATTAATTTTCTACTTACATTTTCATATGATACAGACTTAACGAAAAAGGATAGACATATATTTTAACTACATATTTAATTTACTAACGATCCTACACATACATTTCAGAAAACATTCCATTATTTCTAATGACAATGAAATAATCACTAAATTATCGGAAATCACAAACAAAACAATACAAACTGTGTGCCTTTCACTACACTTGAGATACGAAACAATTGTAAAAACTTGTAGTTTACATGTTAAAGAAAACTAGAAATTCATTGAAAATGTGATATTTACCGGAAAAAACATTATAAAATCGTCAAATTGACGTACCTTCAAAATAGTACAACATCAAATATCGCCATATTGAATTCACAACAACGCTTCAAAGACGACCGGGGTTCTCAATTTAAAGACGAAAAGGCGGGTTATTCAAAATCAAACTTTACATTCCAATGTTTGTACTATTTGTATTGACTAAAATTAACATCTTTGTTCTATTACTGTACGACAACGTGAGTATCTTATCATGTTACTACTTTATAACACAGTGAAATAGATATTTATCAAAATAAACGTGTTTTATTGAAGTTTTACCGCACTGCTCTACATAACCTTGAACTTTCTTAGTAGCAATCTGAACCCAGATAAAAATCCATCATTGAAAAATAAATGGAACGCAGAATCTCAAGTTTAATTCCTTGAGATTTTAAAAATGTATATTATTATGTTACTATATTCCCAGTGTTTTTTCTTGTAGGAGGCTACACAAGATTCATGTTTTGGTAGGCATTACTAAAAAAAAAGGTACTACATACATTACAAAAAAAAATACTTTAAATTTGCTATTTTAAGACGGAATCATTAATTTTAACTCGTCAAATTATAATATATTTAATTAAATATAATATTACATTTATTACTATGCCTACCTACAGCCAGGTTTTTTTATTTACTTGAATTTGAATTTTTGAATTTTCAAAAACTTGACTTTTTGAAAGTTCAATTATTATTTTGCATATATGGCTGTACAATACTCAGTTCAAAACCAAAAGAGAAATTATCAGAAAAAAAATATATAGCTACGTTCAAATTCACACCAAAGAACTTGCTAAGAATAAATGTAGACTATGTGTCTTATTTGATGATAATTAAACTTGTACCATATTAACTACTAACGATAATTTTAGAATTGCTTGATCAATTCTCAAAAATAAATTTCATTTCAATTATTTTTGATAAAAAACTAATCCAATATTATTGTTAATTCCGAATGCATCTAGGTTTGGCTGCCATTTGCTGTGTTCTGTCATTCAGTTTGATGTTATTAAAAATAAGTATTTTGTTGAAAAAAACCTCTATTTTAAACAAATTAAGTGAATTATTACATTATTGCAACATTCTTTAATTTATTATCTATCAGTTTAACAACATGTATTGGGCAACGCGTGGGTTTACATGTGAGAATTGTACTATACCTAACTGCTCTTGTTTTTTGGTTATCAGTGTTTATTTCTGCTTAGTTTTAGTTTGAATAGTCTATTATGCTTTGGTGGCGAATAATATATAGAAGATACCATACATTTTAGAACGTACTTATGTAGAAAAATGTTGAATAATTTGTAAAAATTGACAGGTGTCATTGTATTTTGTCATTGTATATGAGAATCTTATCTGTACTACAAAACATAATATTTATTTTTATCACGATAAAGGACTCGCTAGAAATTGAAGGGAAGCCAATTTTGAATGTATATTTTCAGTATGAAGGTGTGGGACCAAGTCAAGCATGTTTTGGTGTACTATCCTCCTTTGTCTTGTTGAGTTGTAACATGAATACAGTATGTCTTTCTTGAGTACGACGGAAAATGTTGGGTAAGTAATAGTATTGCTGGCCTCTTATTATGTCGTATTAAGCCTCCATTAATAGTTCTACAATGTGGAGTTTACACTTGGTTTTTCTTTTGTAAACAACTTGAGATTTCAGTCAAGTATTAATTGCTTGTTTGGAAACTGTTATTGTTTATGAAACATGTGCTTGATGTACTGAAAGTTACACACACGATTTTATCAAAAATTTTTAATTTACTAATAAAGTTATGTTTTTTTTAATAATACCAAGTGATGGGATGAATAAGTCGTGCACCTGATGGTAAGCAACATGCCTATCCATAACAATTGCAGTGCCACTCAGAGCTTTAAATTGAAAACGGCACTGATGTTTATTCACTATGACCAAAGCAGAACATTTTAGACTTGTATATTTTAATTACAAAGTCCTTGTATTTTGTAGGTTCAGTGGTATTCCACAGAATATATCAGATGGAAGCTGTGCGACACAGTACAAGATGGCAGTGGACGGTGTGTCAGGGAGTTGTAGTGAAGTCAATTTGTTCATACATGATAGCTCTGGGGATGAACAACCTTATATAACACACATCAATGACAGTTACTTTCATACCAAATTTAAAATAGATCCCAATGACCTTTATGCATTTCATGACTCTGATGTCATTGCTGGCGAAATCACAGTCAGTCACACAGATGACAATTTTATATTTAGTGATGCTGATGTAAAGCCGAAACTCCTTGACAGTCCAAACAAAGAAATAGATCTCATTGAAACACTCACAAATGGGGAAATCAAAGAGGAAAAGGAGGAGATTATTCAAAATGGACATTATTCACCTGTCAGTAAAACTAATGTTGTAAAGCAACAGACTGGTAATTTTAAAGACAATAAGACTAATACCAAAGTTTTGAAAGCTAAATGTCAGAGTCAGGTTAAGAAAGAGACCACACCAATAAATATTACTGAGATTCGAAGGCTAAGTGTGCACAGCCCCAAGGGTGCATGTGCTAATACTGCTGCTGCATCTAAAACCAGCGTTAATAGTGTTAATACCAACAGTGTACCTAGTAATATCAAGGGTACTTCAACAGCATCAAAATCAGGTGGTGAAACTTTCTTGGATGTCTTTAAGAGGGAACAAGGTTTGGTAGAGAGCCCACCTGCAGTTATCAAAACTGAATCTCCTGGTCCTTCTATGGCAGCAGCCCCCCCCACCAAAAATTTCTGCACCTGTTGCTAAAAAGGCACCATCAGGTAATCCTTCTATTTTATTTATAAATTACAATTTCAGACTTCATTTACAAAACCATCCACCATATTAGTACTTTGCACCTACAATGAAAACAGAGAGTATTTGCTGGTAAGTGTGTGTGTTTGTCTGTGGAGTCATTGCTTCCAAATGGTAGAATAATCTATCTAATCCAATCAATCTAATCCAGATTACTCGAAATAGCTTATAATATCTTAGATACTCTTGATTCTTAGGTACTCTTGTAGCTAAAAATTTTGAATTTATACTCAAACAATTACTTTCAAAGGCTACAACTAAGTCCCCACAATAATCCAATACTAGATACCTTAAATTTAGAGCAGACATACATACTGAACTTTTTGCATATGATATATTATGTAACTTTAAACATCATGCAAAAAAAGATTATGTTTATTAATTCAATTTAACTGTATTAGTGCTAGTACTTCTGCCAATAGGGGATTACTTTTTGCTTGAAGACTTAATTTACTAAAATGTTTAAATTCTATATCTTATCTCTCTTTACTCACTATGAGCACTTATCTATATACATCCTATAATTTATTTTGATGAATATTTTAAAAGACTGAAATATTGAATTACTGAAAACTTTTTAGTTTATAGTTTTTCGGGTACCTAAATGTGTAATTGATGGCTGACACCATTTATTTCTCTGTCTCTGGCTTTTTATTTAAAAGTTGATTACGATTTCTAGCAGGTAAAACAGCGCAAGCAAAACCGCGCCGCGGTCGCGGGCCCGCCGTCCACGAGGCGTTACAACGGATACCATCCCAACGCCGTGCTCTACCACAGTCGAGGAGCGAATGGCATGCGCCGGGAGACGAGCTGTTCTCATGCGGACCTTTGGATGATAAACATCCTATACCTTTTACACAAGACAGCAGCAGTGATGATGATAACATGCCCGACTTTGGTAATTAAGATTATTTATACTCCTATTAAAAAAGGCAGTGATATAATGACAAAAAATTAAGATTTAATTAAGTATAATGACAAGAAGTCTTTTATAAGACATCTGGGGACCATTAGTTAGTAATACAAACTAACAGTTTAAAACTCATACATCACCTCAGCAAAACCTGGATGAAAGTCTCAAGGGCAGTGACGCTGTTTTTTTTCGCGTCACTGCGAAAAGAAGTTATCAATCCTGATTGAACAAATATTAGGATGCACTACAGTGCCACGGTTGTCCCAGCAGCATCCTGAAAACCCGTTATTATATTGGACACGCAGGGCGTTGAGTGCTTTTTGCATATAGTCAACCCACAGACCACCCAAGTAGAAGGTTTGACAATACTCCTTGAATTATGCTATTTTTTTTATTTTTTTTTTATTTATTTATATCAGGTAACAAAAAGACCCATGTATACATACCTTATAGATTAACATACATAACAAATATAAAAACAATATACACCTATATTATATATACCTTTAAACTAACCTACATACAATATAATAATAAAAAACTAATCTACACGATTTCACTTATCGGCGACGTGTGGCGCAATCTGGTGTCAGGTAACCGGCCACGGAATCGCCGATATATGACACCCTTCGGCCAAAATTCCTCTTTCATGAAGGTCGAAAGATGTTCGGTCGGTATTCTCACCACAAACGAATTAAAGTTCACGTTGCGGCGAGACTCCAACCGCTCGACCCTCAGGGTGTAATTGGCTTTATGCCTGATATACTCCACTATCTCCTCAGACTTCGTGGAGTAATGCAGCCGCGACAGGTACATCAACGTCGTCGGTACGGCCGGACGCAGCAGGAAGTTCGGTCCTGTCGGTACTGTGCCACACTGGTTACGGCTGGTGGGCTTCCTCTTCCTCTTCACCACCTTTGTGAAGCCATCCTCGTCGCAATGGACCGTCTGCCTCTTTGGTTTTGCAACTTCAGAGACAGGCACACGGAGATTGGTTTTATCCTTAGCCGATTGCCGCCGCTCGAATTTCGAAGTGGCGGGTCGGCTAGTTGAAGCGGCTACAGCGGCGTATGCACGTGTCGGGGTTGACGTGCACACGCGTGACATTTCCATCGAGGCAGAGGGGCGGGCAGCGGGGCGCGGCGCATCATGCGCGGTGGCAGCAAGGAATGGTGACGCATTATGTGCCGACTCGAAACTGCTGACCGAAGTATTCAGCGCTGCTCCGCGTCGTGTGTTTACGTTAGAGGCTTCTGGTGACCTACATACCGAAACAGCATTGCTTAATAACGCAACTTGGGTGCGCAGCTCACTTATGATATTATCTGAAGCCTATAATTTATACTGTACTTCAGCTAGGCTAGACTTCAGGGACGTAATGTCCTTCAGCAGCCTAGTAACATCGACGTGGTCGAACGTGACGGGGGGCAGCTTGTGCAGCTCCTTCGCCACGAATGTAGGCACGTCGTCCGGGTCAGTCTCCTTCAGCAACGTGATTATATCTCTTCACGCCTCCATCCCTCCGGCGAGATGGCATCTCTTCGGCTTTACCGAGACGCTGGAAAAGCAGCATCTTGCCACTGCAAATCTCATCTTCACTGAAATTTGATTTGCATATCTGCACTATGCTGACTTCATCCATGATGTCGATAGCGTGATTTATGAACGCCAGGAGCTCATTGGCAATGAGTTGCTGGGAACTCATTGTCAATTACGCGCAGCGGCTTGTGCCGCGCGAAACGCGAGTTAGGTGTAATTAACTCACTGCGTAGTGGCACGTCCGTTTCCGAACGCGTCTTGCTATGGACTGTGATATTTTGGCTTCCTCACTACAAACGGGCAAATCTGTGAGCCAACATATTACATCTAGCAGCCAACACCCTACATTCACAATTAATAATTATTTACATTTCTTTTTGTTTAGTGAATCTTTTGCAATCTGTGCCGCTATTACTAAATGTGAACCCTCCAGTGTGAGTGTCTTCCCTTTATTTATTCACAACATCACTCTAACGGGAGTATGTATTTTTGTTTGAGGTTTTTGTTTTTGTTGAAACTGCAGATTGTGGACTGTTGTGCCAATTCATTAGTGGTTCTCAACACTATTATGGTATTTTCGTCAGAAGAACAAAAAAGTAATGAGGATGGACACTCTCCGCCCCTCCCTAGATTTAGATACCTTGACTGAACGACAACAAGGCTGTCGGCGAGCCGTGGTCGCGCCGTTGCCGCTGTCGCCGAGACAGGTTTTTTATTTGAATATGGTTTTCATTAATTACGAAACTTGTATGTTATTAAATAACATCATTGTACGTTACCATTTATAACGGTCGTTAATTGTGTTGTGTACGGCAGTTTATCATAATCTAAACGGAATAAAGAGAGGAGTTTCTTTCGTTTTCTGAAAGATGAAACGAAGATGAAAAAACTTATATCTGATTCAGTTATTGTTTTCTTCATTTAGTGCAGAGTAATATATAATACAGATTTATTATATCAATATTATGAGACGCCATAACTTCGTGAGCTAATAGACAAAGGTTCTCGAAGTTTCAATTTGTATTGCCGATAAATGTTACGTAGTGAATATACCTAATTATTAAGTATAATACCGTGGTTACCTTATTTAAAAGTACCTGTCCAAAATACAATATTTTAAGTGCTTTAATTTATTTTTTAAATAAATGTAATTGTACGAGAAAGTGATGGGTAACCCTGCCACTTCACGCACACTTTTGCGCGTGCGCAGATAGTAGTAGTAGGTAAATAACTTTCGACCGTTGTATGGAGTGTCCAGGGTGTGTCTTCGTGTGGTACTTTTAATTTAATTACATTATGTACGAGCCCTGTACCCCACCTACTGTGGGGTCGGGCTCGGCCTGCGGCGCGTGGTCGGTTTCAGTTTACAGGATGTGCTTATGCTCTTCGGTGGCACAGCAGTTAGTACTTTGGGTGCTTGATGAGGAGGTCGATTCCCGATTTATGCCAATTTAAGAAACGAACATTCCTAAGTTGGTTTTGGTCTAAGTATTCTGGGTTATCGTTGATTTGGTATTCATAGTACCTACATAGTACAGGAAATTCGGCAGTCGTTTGGTATTTTTCCCCCTAAATACTTCTCTTTGGCATAGCTTTCAAGAAAATGAAATCTAACATAGAGACGGTTGAGATACAACAACGCTATAATAAGTATCTCATTTCCACTACATCGGGAAGCATGCTTTACATTTTTACAATTGTGAGATCTTGTACTCGTAATCTATTACGTCTCCGTATATTATCTCCATTTGATGGCGTGCGGACGCTTCGGGCTTCGCCCTCCGCCGACCTCGGCCTCCGACCCCGGCACATATGGCTTTGTTTTAAAAAAATTGAAATAGCTCTTTAATGGCGGCCATATTTGAAAATTGCAAAAATATATGTTGACTACTAATTATTATCAAACAATCTTAGAAATCTATTCGTGCCAATTTTCAGTCCGAGCAAAGCAAGTTTTTTCAATAGAATGACTATATACATAAAAAATTACGACTATATCGAAACGGCAGAAACAAACTTTTTACCCCAAATTGTGATTAAAGCCATGCCATTTTCAGTCGAATTAGAAGAAATTTTTATCTACCGCCAAAAAAGTTTGTATGGCAACCATATTGAAAAATGGCGAAAAATAAATTTTGACCGCTAATTATTATTAAACACTCATAGGGACCCCGACATGTCCACTTTCAATGGAATTAGAGCAAATTTTTATCTGGCGCTAAAAAAGTTTGTATGGCAGCCATATTGAAAAAAGGCGAGAAATAAATTTCGACCGCAAATTATAAATACCTATAGAGATCCCCACATATCGATTTTCAGTTGAATTAGAGCTAATTTTTATTAGTCGTTGAATGGCGGCCATATTAAAAAATGGCGTAAAACCATTTTTGATCATAAATTATTATCAAGCACTCCTAGAAACCCACACATGCCAATTTTCAAAGGGATCAGAGCATTTTTTTTTCTGCCGACTACGAATGCTTCTATGGCGGCCATATTTGAAAATGGCGAAAAACCAATTTAGACCACAAATTATTATAACTTCTAGAGACCTCCGCATGCCAATTTTCAGCCGAATCAGAGCAAGTCCGTTTCAGCAGCCACTTTTGACGAAAAAAACGCTTATATGACAGCCATATTAAAAAATGGCGAAAAGAAACTTTTGACCCCAAATTATGGTTAAGGACTCCTAAAGACCCCCGCATTTGCAGCCGGATCGAAGCAAGTTTTTCTTCGGCCGCCATTTTGAATTCGCCATTTGTTTTTTTTAAACCAAGCAGTTGACCACTATTAATGTCTATGACATTCCTTCGAGCACCTCCTACCTATCGCTAATAGTTTTCGTGATAGGAGACTTTTAAATTTGTATGGCGGCCATCTTATTTATTTGAATTTCAAACATTTTTTACTTCCGGCGGAAATTGACCAGGGTGTACCTCATAAAAGTGCACAAATATTCCCTTCATATATTATAGTTTTTGCAGGCCGTTGATCACCCTTTCATATTTTCCACATTCAGGTCTTCTCATATTTGATTCTTTGCCTTGGAATCTATCCGTGTACAACGGTATAAATATCTTTTTTCCACCATATCGGGAATTATGCGTTCTATTTCTATCAGTGAGTAAGAAACTTGTAGCTTTATATAATATATTTACTATATATATTACTTTTTTGCTATCGCTTTAGACTCATTAGGTCCCAGTAAATCTTGGCTACATGGATCTCATCCTTCTAAATATAATATAAACTTCACCATTAACCTATTTATACGTCCCGCTGCTGGTCACGGAACTCCTCTCAGGCGAAGGTTTAGAACATAGTCCGCCACGCTGGCCCAATGTGGTTGGGGACTTCTTCGACGTGCAGGTTTCATCACGATGTTTTCCTTCACCGAAAAGTTAATGTAAATTTTGAATTAAATTTAGCACATAAATTCCAAGAAATTCAAGTACAAGTCCGGATTCGAAACCACGGCCTCTGCTTGCTAGGTCAAACTATTAGTTTATAATAACAGTGGTACTTTTATATAAACTTGTTGTGACGTATTGCAAATATAATTTGATTGTTCGTAAAAATTACTATTTTTCACTTTAATTTGTACAAGTAGGTATTTTTTATAGTAAATAGTGCCGCCTGAGACCTGAGCGCCAAATGAGACATCGGCCACTCCTGAAAGAACACGATTATATGTCTATTACAGAAGCTGGAACTGGACCTGTATGTGTAGAAGAAACTGAAGTTGAATCGCGAAGTGCCAGGCTTGCGCTACGCAAGGCCGCGCTGCGGCGACACGTGATGCGAGCTGATACAGAGCTAAGGCTGAAAAAGGATTATCGCAAGCCCCGCGAAATCGCCACGCTTATCAAGGTCAGTTCACGCGTGTCGAACATATGTCATGCGTTGCACTTTAGTTTTATCACGCTCGGACGAGTCATAGTCAAGACTTTGGTTGGTGTACTAGGGTGTCCCTGAATTAATGTTAAATACATTCTTATTTTTATAAACTTATTTTTTTTTTTAAATCACAAGAACAGATCTCGACTTTTCATACATCGCATTTAAAATCAAATATTGAGATAGCTCAAAAATTATGGAATTAAGAAAATATGATTTGAAAGTTCAAAAAATTACTGAATGGAACCAATACATTTATATTCAATTCAATATCTTTATTTGCATTCCACAATGATATGGTATTACGTAGTAAAAAGATCACATGATCAGATATTCTCGTTAATAATGGATAACTGGATAACCTATAAATGGATAACTAATTATTGTTTAAATACAAATAATCCTATTATTCGCAATAAAATTCATTCTGTACATATTTTTTAATTTTATTATACTTTTACAATATTTTCTCATTTCCATCATTTTTAAATTGCAACAGTATTTAGTTCCATGTGCCACGTATAATTTTAAAGAAACTGATTCATTTTGATTATTAAGTACTTTCACAAGTACAATATACAACAACCAAAAACAAGAAGTTAAAAGTATTAAAAAAATGTTTCCATCCAACAATTTAATTATTGCCTTCGTAAGTTTAATTGAACGTAAATAATTTTGATTAGAAATGACAATTACAATGAGATAAAAGTCATATGTCAGCATTAAATGGCCAATTTGACTGGATAATATTTAAGTGTACATTGGCCATTATGTGTAATGAATTGTGGCGTCAGTGTCTTTGCAACATAACTAGTAACACTGACAATAGACAATTTACCTTTCGTTTTTTGTAGTAGCTTTAATAGTTCTTTTTGGCATGTCATAGTTAACTTGGTTCGTACGCAATGACTATCGTAAATTAACGTGCCCAGAAATAAGCCTAAGAGCTTATGCTATACTACAATTGTTTTTGGCAATTAACTAAGTGTAAACAAGCCGTAATGAAGTATTTTAAGAGGCATTACTTGGTAGCTTATTGTAAAATGGTAATGAACTTTTTGAAAATGGTTCAAAATATACGATAATATTTTCAGGTAATAGATAACATTTCGCACTACCTATTTATTTTTATATTTAAAATTGTATTAAATACTTAAATCTAAACGGCATAGATTAAATATTTGCATAAAGATGTTTAATAACGCTGAGGCTGGGATCCGAAGTGACAAGAATAAAAGAAATTGTATGTATAGGGTAGTTGATGTATGTGAGAATCGAGATTTGTATCAGGATAAAAATGGCGTTCCGTAGTCTTTGCTTACCCCTCCTGTGGGACTAGGGCGTTAGCTTATGTATGTAATAAGACGTATCACAACTTTCCTACGATAAACTACCTAAAATATGCGATCAAACTAAAGAGGACTGCAGTAATACGACGTTATGAAACTCACTACTAAATATTATATTTGACCGGTTAACCAAGTGACAGCTGACCTTTGTTTACTTTTGTGCAATATCAGCGACAGTTTCAACAAGGGTATGAAACGAGGAATAAAACCATGTAATACCAGATACTTAGGCTCAACTCACACTGGCGCAGAGTCGAAGCGTCGCGTCGCGTTCTGTTTTCAACTACACCGCCTGGCGACGTGAGTCGACGTGCGTCGACGCGACGACGTGCGCCGAGGTCACAATGTGGTCTGACGCTTTACGGCGCCCAAGTGATGCGCGTCGACACTCGATTCCATATTTGCAAAACACAAATTTGTACCTTAATGATGGGAAAATAGAGATGAATATGCTATAGGCCAAATACATGACGCGTTGCGACGCTTCGACTCTGCGCCAGTGTGAGTTGAGACGCCGCAAGTACAGCAATTTGTATGAAAACCGACCGTGCCACATTTTATGTATCCACCAAGACGTTACAAGAACTATCTAGTGACGGGAAACCTCCTGCCGCGCTAAATCGATTTGATTGCACGAAATACACGTATTCCATTCAATTAATCGATTCAAGTATTCGATGATTACAAGTAGTCGTGAAATATTAATACAGTAGAAAAATACCAAAACAAAATAGGTATGTCCTTTATTAAAAGTTGTTTTAAAAAAATTTTGATTACTTAATAATTTAAACTTTAATTTTTAATCAACTTCAAATATTAAAATTATTGTCCTCGAAATAATATAAGCTTATTATATAACTGTCTTTTTGTAATAGAAGATCTTATCGATTGACGTAAATAATGAAAACGCGCGTTAATATATGAACTTGCAACTGCCTTAATTAAATTTACTAGATGGTTTTCCTTCGGTGATTGATCAAATTGGTGAATGGCAAAACAACTGAAAATGTTACTGCTGACAAAATATCTAAAATCTTACTAAAGTAACTTAAGCACACACTCACAAAACTGTGTTTTGATCATGATTTCTCAGATTTCTAACTTTGCTACTCTGCATATTTAGATAGCATCTTTGGTGGGATAAACTAGACCACCTTCGTCCTTGTTCTCAAGCGTAGAAGCGCCAACTAAGTGTTTTTCGTTCGATTGATTGAACGGAATACGCGTAAACACGCGTATTGAGTGACCCACCCACAACCTACCCCCTAACCCACCCCCTAAGCCCACCCCATAACGCACCCCCTAACCCACCACCTAACCCATCACCGAACCCACCGCCAATCCACCACCTAACACACCCCTAATCTACCCCCAACCCACCTCCTAACACTAACCTGACGTTAATTCTTTGCATTATAATTTTTTTTTTATTACTCGTATTCAATATCCGGCGATGTATGTAATTATTTGCTCGCTATATCCGGACATTCGAAGCAACTTGCTGCAAATATTATCGAAATTACGGATACTACTGATAATAGATACTACAAAATTGAAGAAAAAAAACGAAACGTTACTAAACTTTATAACAAAAGAGTTATAGAATATTTTATAATGTTGCTAAGGTCATAATAATTTTCGACCCCCTGTTTTCAAAATCGAACAGAATCGAGAACAGTGTTGTCTAATGTATACATCACTAAACGTTAAATTTGGCTAAAAAAAAATGTACGTGCGGCCGTACCACAGAAACTGTATGCATTATGCAAAAGTGCGTTCGTTCGATATTCATGGCGTATTAACAAAGGATCACAAATATATCGCACCAAGTAAAAGCCGCAATTTATTACAAAATCATGAGGCATACACATTTCTCGAAATTCATACAAAACCAAAATAATTGTTTTTAAAATAAATTATGCATCTCCTAATTACAAAATCACTTGCACGTGGAAGGAAACGTCCCTCTACCCGTTTACCCACAGTCATGGTGCTTTTGCAGTTTATAATGGCACAATTATGCATTTTTCGGTTTTCAACTGGTGTTTATCTACGATAACAGTCGAGCGCGTTCTTCAGTGTAGCAGCGGCAAGTAAGTGAATTTCAACTTACTTTGGGTACGAGGTACGTACACTTGCGGCGTCTATCTAGATATATGTCTGTGTATAAAGGTGTCAAGCAGTGATCCTAATAAGATTATTTATGCTCAAAATCACTTTGACCCCTAACACAACCAGACTACTCCGAATATTTAAGGCTATAACTACTTTAATTCACTAACGCTAAGCGTAATGCATAAAGTTTTTATAGTAGACATAGAAATGAAACTTCAGTGACTGTTGCAAATTATATTTTAAGTTCTTATCCAAACAAAACCACGTCCATTCTCGTGTTTCGTTGATTCCATGATGATGATATCGATCTTTTCTTATTTCGATAATAATTCTTAATGAAGCAAAGTAAGTTTTCTAACAAAATAAAATAAATTAATGTCACGATTCGTTAATATATGTGAATACTTTACGAATAAAATTTTATTTGAATCTTAGAAGTTGGGCTGTTTAATGTCACGTCAAAAACATGCATGCCAAACTTTCAGCGGCTATCCAAAATTTCCACATCTTTATTATTATCTACTATTACTAAATTATCAAAATAAAAATGAGTACTGTCACTCTCAGTAATCACTCTGCTATTATTAAATATTGTTTGTGATTTGTTTGGGCACAATTCGTCTTCGTTTAATTGCCGTCGCTTCTATTAATTGGTCCAATGGCCGGATTTCGACTTCTTAAGTACTCTAGTTTCAAGATTGACAGGAAATTCATTCTAAAATTGACTATTTTATACAATATTGCTAATACTGCTTTACTATACCACCTGTACGTTTTTTTTTTATTTAATTCTAATTCAGCTTTTTAATATTTCAATGGCTTTCTATGAGTAAAATAGTAGTCTATTTCAAAAAGAAGTAATTCGTTAGGAAATCAATTTTCAGGTTAGTTTTCTGTATCTAATTTCGGTGGCAATTTTTATTATTTCAATTTTCTACAATTTTATCATGAGATATTATTTAATGTTCGATTGTAGTGACCTGAAATATTATTCTATATTTCACGATAATATACTCGAAAACTTAAATTAAAAAAATTGCCACTAAAATGAAATGGAGAAAAACTAACCTGCAAATTACCCAGGAACGTTTAAAAAAATCTGAGTCATATCTGACAAGCATAGTTGACGAATCGTATACCGACCTAGTGTTATCACCTGATTATTTAGTAGAAAGCTCGTTTTCTTATGCACAGTAAAATTTAGCATGTTCTAAATACAGGTGTGTAAAATGTAAAAATTGAATTATTTGAGCCATTGTTCTTGAAAAGCAACGATTTGTTCAGTTCGTTTCTTAATGAAATAGTTTGATTAATTGTCTCAATCCTGCCAGTATCCGTTTCATGCTAGTTTTATAAACATCAAGGAGGGAGTGTATACGGAAGCGATTTGTTTAAGAAGACACTTTTACTTTTTTTTTTTTTTTAGACTTTTTTTTGTTGAAGAAAAGTTAACCAATATGGCCGACTGACAGGAAGTATATATAAGAAAAAGATAATGACTATGACTAAAGACCTGTACCTTATCTGTGGCCTGTTTAAATATAAATTGTTAAAATACCTAAGTAAATGTCACCACGATATTAACATGCAATGCAATTGGACAATCCCGATATTTCACAAGTGACGACCTAATAATATCGAAATAAAAAGGTTTCCTTTTACTACTATTTATTTTTATTTATTTTTTTAGTTTTATTACTTTTATTAAACTTAAATACGTCTCAAACCAATACTGGCAATGCAAAAGACACTTAAGAGAGTTTTATTAACTTAAGTAAGAGCGAGAGCGCTGGTGAAATTACAGGCACATGTACTTGTAAACTTATGTCTCAGGGTTGACGGGCGCAGTGGCAGGGCCCCTCGGATCTTTGCGATTTAAAGCTCTGAGTGGCACTGCAACTGTTAAAGACAGGCGTTTACCTTAACATCAGGCGCACGACTTGTTCGTCCCGTCACTTAATATTATAAAAAAACGTCTCGTCACTTGATATTATAATTTAAAAGAAGGGTTTAATCAATGTAAGCATTGGTGTAATACTTTAAGAGTTAAGTTTAGTGCAAGTGGACTTTAGTTGAAGATAGGAAGTAGTGAAAGATGGCATAAATGTATATTATAGATTATAGCGCGCCCAATATATCTTTGAAAAGTTGCTGTTTGAAGCTTTTTGATCTTTAGCAACGGGATTGTATTTGCGCGAAGGAGACGGATAATGTTAATATTTATTTCACAGAAGCAACTATCAGGCCAAGGATCTTCGTGCAAGCTGCCGAGCATTACAATTAATCATTTATTGGCTCTTCGAGGCTTACCTTCCGTGCTTACCTCGCAAGAGCGTCGCAAACTTAGGTGAGCAACTAAATGCGTACGCGGGGCACGTATCAACTGCACCCATTAATGATGCGTACTCAATTCAGCTTGTGTGACCTATAAGATAAGATTTAAGACTAATATACTCCATTTTAAATATAATTTTGAGTCATTGTACCTATAAATAAATTTATCTTACACAATTTGTGTTATTTATAGAAACAGATATAAATCGCCATAACATTTTATTTGGTTAAAGAAACATTTTAATATTTCAGAGAATTCGGTTGGTCAGGAGGCGAAAGTGGATCAACAGAGTCAACCACCGGCTCAAAGTGCGCAGACGAGAAATGTGCACAACGACCAATACCGTGCGGGAGATTCTGCTTGTCCCACGTGACGTTAGAGCCCGAGCAACGGCTTTACGCAGCTTGTGCTGCGGTGTTCGCTGGGGGATCGCGATGCATGCAGCCGCTGTTGCCGCTGCAAGAGCAGACGCCTCTATGTGCTGAACATGCGTGGAAACGAGTTAGTATATCACTTCATCTGTGGTCAGGACCAAAACTTATAAGGTATCTGTGTGGGCTTACCCTGTTGTCCGAACATGTTTATAGTGCCCTTCCGGTATAACCATCTTGAATTCGAGTGAGTACAACGTCACCGAGACGTGACAAAAAAGTATCAAAAATTGTGAAATATGTAATTAAAATTTGCAATTCTCGGTTCAAAAATGGTCATAAAACTACTGAGGTTACTTTCCACAGGTAAGTTTGCTTTTGTTTGTTTAGATTGTCGTAAATAAAAATAAAAATGAAATAAATTTATTTTAAACATCAATGTTGCCGGCATATCAATTTTCATTTGCCCATAATATTGGGAGTTATCCTTTTTAAAGTTAGTTTTGACTTCGTAGTCAAAAGTGATTCTAATGCAAGTTTATTCGTTGTAACGTTTTAATGTAAAGTGTAATCATAATACTATTAATACGTAATACTATTAAAAATGATATTTTGTTTGTTTCTTAGAATACCTAAAGATCGAAAGCGCAGAGAGGAGTGGATAAAAATTATACGACTTTTACTAAAAGATACTTTCAGTAACAAAACACAAGGCAATTGTACAACAATCTAATGACGCACAGTGGCGTTTACTAATTTGTAATAAACTATAGTTAAATGTTTGTGTATTCAAGTAATTAGTAATACCTACCCTTTTATAAATTTGTTTTCGTTAAATAGAAACAGAAACATTGTGGGAAGTATTTTTATCACCTTTATCCAATAAATAAAAAATACTAGAAAAGCAATTAATTCCTTAGATTAGAAAGTAATATCTTCATATTTACAATTTATTTGAAAGAACTATGAATTCCAAGCGTGGACCCTTAACTTCATACATTTTCATGTATATTTCACTCACTCGTTCTTTCAATTTCTGATTACTATCTCCACTGTCTCTTTCCACCAGTGAGGCTACAAGAAATTAGGGAAAATTATTTCTAAACCGGTAACACTGGGCATATCCCTTAATACACTATGACTATTTCGTTTTGACATAATAAGTTTGACATTAGATAAAACGAGAAAATATATTTTTCTTTGAAATTTCAATCAGTTTCAAAGGTAGTCTTTAAATTTGCAAATTTGCTCCACATTTTAGACAACTGTTTGTAAGACATTGCGTCTCTAGTATTATTTATGCTCACTGTGAACAGGACAACTACGACAAGTTAAGCCGCGACAGCAAGCCTAAGAAAGTAGCGCCAGTGCGCAAGCGCGTCTGGCCACCTGCGCCGCGACCACCGCGCCGCCCGAAGCGCCGCCGTCGACCCCCCGCACGACCAAAGCCGTCGCCACAGCAGTCGCTCTCAGGTACGATTCTTGGAGAGAGATATGGTATTATATTACAGAAAGAGACCCTGCATCACGTCATCCAACTTGCGGTCGCACTTCGACTACATTTTGCCTGACCGTCTTTTTGACCAATTATGTCATTGCCTTACAATTATATGGACGTCGGGTCCGCGCTAAAAAGTGCCCGAACTAATAGGGCGTTAAAATCGTATACAGAGCGTCATTCACGCTCTAGTCTTCGTTTATTCGACTGACAGCGAAGCAAGCAAAATTAGACAGTACTGCGATGACATTACAATTTAAATTCAACGTTTTAGCTTTTTCATATTCCTTGACATGTCACTACGTTAAAATAGGTTGACTTGGGACATTTTTTTCGTGGTTTTTGTATTAGACCCGTCGTCCATTTATTTGTAAATAATTAAACTAAAAATTAATCTCTGAAAAAACTGTAACTACAAAAACCCACCTTTTTTTCGTTTCAGTTGATAAAGCTAAGTTTGCTTATTTGGCAATGAACTATTATTATACATTTTGAAGAACAAGGACAACGATATGAAATTGCGTATATAGCTAATCCTTGTCGTTTAATCATCGCCGCGAAAACGATGAAACAAAAAATGTCGTGTTTTTGTAGTTTCTGTTTTTACATATTATATATTACGTTGTATTAATTATTATTTACATATTTCTAATTACTCTCATGTCTTTTCCAATAATTTATAATACATCAATTTGTCTGTTTTTATTATTTCTTTTCACCTCGTTTGTCGCGCTCAATTTTTACGTTGATTACTGAAAATTACTGTGCAGATCTGTCAAAATGTTTTAAATCAGCTGTGACCTTACAGCCATGTTTGGCACTGTGTTAATCTTTTGCAGTCATTGGTCACGGCGCTTGCGATGACATAAAAATGTGACGTCACGGTGCTCGCCTTGTTAGCTGATGTGATAAAATTTTAAAATAATTTTATTCAAAATTTATTTATTATATAATAGCTTTATGGAGGCGGCATATATATAAACTGTCTCCGATATCTTGTCACAATTTGGTCAAGCAGAAGTATTTTCCTTAACAAATTTATTTTTCGTTTAGAAATCAACGTATGCTCAAATTCTTCAGCGTACGATAGTTCAGAAGACACCACAATGGGAGCACTCAGCGAGAGCGAATATATTACGACAGGAAGTTCCCATGAGTTGGGTAAGTTTTTATTTAATATTGGTGTTTCACGTTTTAGATTTCTTGTACGAAAGCGAATATTTGTATTTATATTTTAAAATCTAATTGACGGTAATATTTTCGAAACTTTTCCAAGTAACTAGAAGTGTTTAACTGCTTTTGCAGCTTTGCTTGCTCAGTATCTATAATTGGAAGAAAAAAAAGTTTATTTCACTTGTAATACAAGAATAAGAAAATGCGAATCAATGATGAAGCACAATGTTGCCTCATTCAGGCTACAGACGCTGGTTATAGTCCAGTCGGATCCAAGGTGTTTTTCAGTGTGTTTGTTCCATATTTGTATCAAAAATAAGCACCTTGTGTGTGTCCTTAATGGTTAATAACCGGTTATCGGGAATTGAGAGAGTTAAATAATTAAAAATTCGAGTAACGTTAATAATAATATGGACATTCCCTTCTACAAATCCTGGAACTTGCTATAATTAATAGCAGAGCAAAATAAATTACAACTAAGAAATCGTCTGCTTAAAAGTAAAACCACAGAAGTGAAATTTTCCACAAAAATCTCCAAATTATGTACCAGTTGTAAGAAATTCACTATCTTTCTAGATAAAACTCCTATTAAGTTTATAGCTTTTCTGTTATTGAGATTCACGTGCAGAAAGATAGTTATTTTCTTACCATAGCTATATAAAGACTTTTTGTGGAAATGTCACTTATGTAGTTTTACCTTTAAACAGACGAAATAGTCAAGGCAAAGTAAGGTAAGAATTATGAGAAACCTACAATCAATCACAAAATACATTTTAAGATAATAAATTCAAATACAAGTACAATTTCAATTACGAGTAATTCAAATACCTGCGCAGCCCTGCTTACTAACAATCTGCCGCAAAAAAAATAACGATTAGTTTACGTTTTACAGAAGTTGAAGTTGGACATGTACCACCAGACGACATTCTGGATCCTGCGGTGCTCAGCCAAATACCAGATGAAGCTTTTACGGAGTTTTTCAATCAGGGTACGTTAACGCCAATTATAGCTTGATGGTTCATCCTGGTCTCGTCAATTGTTTCACTTCATATCAACCAGTTTAGCCTGAGTTTGGCTATAATGGACGAAAATCTAAAAATTACTTATATTTAATATATAATTACCGATGAAATGTGATTCCGTTTGTTTTGAAATTAGATGTTTTGCTTTTTCTCCCACACCACCAAATAGTACAACACGCCATTGTTAGAGATGTTATTTATTACAATAAATACAGAATATTTTTGCAATATACGGAGACGTACACACAGGTCAGTTGTTGGCGCTGTGCTATTTCAGTGCAAACGAGAGTTGATATTTAAAAGTGATATAAACCCATTTGCCTGATAAGATTTTAGGGATGGATGGCCCTTATTTCGTCTCTATTTCTGGTTATATACTCGATGGTTCAATCCCACCGTTACCAGTAGGTAAAGGGTGAAGTCTCGCCCAAACATCAAACATGGGGGTTACTACAAGTAACATCCAAACCGTTGAGAAGAGTTTGTTTCCAAATTGATCTCACCGGGTATCGAACATCAGTCCTCCGCATACATTTCGCAACAATCGTGCAAAAGAGGAAAGAAAAAAATACATAATTTTTATATTGTGTACATATAAAAACAAAATGTTATCAAAACCTTTTTTAAATAAACTTTATGAAAACAAGCTCATGAAAACTGATACTTGTGCTAAAAATTTTAATGGTATTGGCAATATTTCGGAGATATACAACCTTTTTGTTTATGTGGTTTCTGATCATCAATAGCGGACTTAAAATAGAATTTTATTACTACAATTTGGTGGGTACCTAAACAAAAATAATTATTAAGCTTTTTAATAAAAAATAAATAAACATTCTTACTCTGAATATCAAGTAAACAATCGGTATTAGCAGATTTATTAAAACAGCACATAAAGAAATGTTTATGATCTATGAGACTTCACTTTGACAGTGATAGTTGTTTGCGTGCATTTTAGTTCTCGAATTCCATCACTGTGTATAGCACCCACAGTTGTAACCGTTAAGCCACCAAGGTCGACAAGAAAGTAGAGGAAATATGAAATTTCCAACATCTACAGTAAATACAAAAAGAAGCAATGCGTTATGAGTTGTTGTTTACAGCTGAAGCGAGTGGCACGTTCGTGGAGAGCTCAGAGCTGGCGGCAGCACTCGAAGCGCTGGACGAACGTGCTCTTGACAACATCGACTGCGTCTTCCCGCCACAACACGCCGCCGTTAAAACTAAGGTAGGTTGAGTTACATTTTGAACTTAATTTTTTTTAAGTTTAAGGGGTTTTCACGTTCAATAATTATCAAAGTTCCTAAATATGTATGGTTTTTAGTAATCAGAAAATTAGTTTTTTAAAATTACATAACGATTGACGGAATTCCATAAGTAACTTGCTCTTTAATATTTGAGTAATAATAGTAACTACAATCAAAAACGTGTCCTTTTATAAGATTGTATTTTATTTCTGTCGCGCAGTTTTAGATTTAAACATTTTTAGGCTACAATTTAGGGCCTTAACACACTGGCTATTTGCGAGCGAGTTCAAACGCGTTTAACGATGTGTTCGCTGCGAACTCCCGGCTTAAGTTGCAACTCGCTCGCAAATCGCCAGCGTAATAAGGCCGTTAACTTTTAACCCGATATAAGTGCGCTAGTGTGTACTAAAAGTAGTATGCAGTTTTTTAAGTAGTTCTTAAAAAACTGCATCATGGCGAGGGTCCACATTAAATGGTTAGCCTTTATACGAACTATTATTATATATAAAGTTAGCAAATTGTAATTGAATCTTTAACATGTATTGTTACTATTTTTCAGATGCAACAATTACCACCAGTAAGCATGCAGTCGAGCGCGCCTTCATAACATCCGTAATACTATATACTAAGTTTAACTTAAAACTAGGAACAAATTCGATATCGTAGTCTCAACGAGTTGGAATATTTTCTTTTTATGCTTTAAGTTTACCGCGTGTTTGTAGGAATGTGAGCTATGTTATGTTAGTGAAATGGTGCATTTTGAGATGGATGCCGCATTGTGGAGAGATGAACGGGATCTTGAAATTGTTATTGGACTTCTTTTTCGATTGTTTTAGATTTGATAGAGAGGTGAAATAAGTTTTCCGTGAGATCATACGGTCGTGTGAACTATATTTGGTAAAATTTTGTAATTATGAAACATTTTTTTTATTGAGAATAATTTACAAGCAAGAGGTTTTGGTGCATTATTTCGGCTGCTCCCTTTATTTCCATACCTTAATACTAATAATGAGTTTGGGAACTGTAGTAAAGTTACAACTTATGTTTGAAAGTTGTTAATTTTTAAGGCGACCACGTTCGCATTGCAGGCGACATTAATTAGTGATGCAACGGAAACGGATGTCAATGCTAATTATATAAAAAATAGCGGAAGTGTAAATGCTATAAAGAGCTCGACATAATAGTTCCAAACAGGGTTGATGTGGTGGTGATTTTGGTTTCATAAAATTGCGCTTAATACAACATAAAATTGCTAAAAAGCGCTTACCGCACAGCCAAACAAAACGCGCGCGCGCCTCATCTGATACGCATGTTTTGTATACTTTCGTTATAAAAGTTGCGGAAGCAGAAACGGAAACAGAAGCAGGAGTCTGTTGCATCACTACCGTGAATGCCTTGTCGTATATTTTTATCTATATTGTCTTTGAATTATGTACAAAATTTTGCCAAACGCACGACCGTCTCGGTTCTGGAGTGAATGGTAAATGGTTGTGTTTCCAGTGGCATTTGTTGGCGTCCATCGTCATTAATTATTGTTATTCGTATTGTAGTGTAGTGAATGTAGGCAATGTGAGATTTTGTGGATTATGCTCTCGGGGGCTTATGGGTGCGTAGTTAATTTGGGTAATGTATTTGTGGTTTTTGATCAGTGGGTTTATAGTATCTCGCTTTTGTTAACTGTGTGACGATACTGACCTCTTCCATTATCATCCCACCTTTTTATCACCATCTGTACTGGCTCCTCGCCATATACTTTTAAAAATTTGAATCGTTCACAAATCCCCTTATCCTTCACTATTCTTACGTGCCCGTAACTCATCACCCTCATATAAATTGGGCCTTTGCATTTCTTCGTTTTAAAATAAATTATGTCGACTGCGCCTTCTGCAGTCTCATTTCGTCATGACTAGGATATAACTTGAACTCGATTTGCGAAATGACCGAGTACTATGTTGGACAACTTTGTACACCCAACAGTTTTAACTAGAGCGCTGTAGTGCCCGGGACAATACACGACAGGACCAATTTCAGAATGAACTTTTCATAATTAGTTTACTCACGTTCTCCGTCCGAAACAACTATTGTCTAATAAGTAATAATCGACCAAATCAAAAAACAATGTCAAGTATATAGTTCATTCGCATCATGCGTCTTAATTTGGTCGAGTATTAATGATTTCATTAATTATTCTCAACCCAGTATATCAGTCGCAGGACAAGGACATGAGCGGGATTGCAAATACAAATATCTCGGCACATGGCTAACTGAAGACTGGGACAGTAAAACTGAAATTAAAACCCGCATTGAAGTTGTCAGGAGTGCCTTTACTATGAGGAAAGTATGCTGCCGTTGTCTTATGATTCCTTTGCGCCCTCAACTTCTTCAGTGTTACATCTGGCCAATACTTCTATACGGATGTGAGGCCTGGACAATAAAAGAGCATCTCAGGAAACGTATTGAAGCATTTGAAATGGACTTACAGAAGAATGTTGCACTAATCATGGCCTCAGAAATAAAGATAAATATCCTGAGCTGACTGCCAACCTTCACTAGTTGGAGAGGCACATTAAGAAGAAGAAGATTAATTATTTGACAGTAGTTGTTTCGGACGGATGTCGGACGCGTAACTACAGTAAACCCCCTAAATCTCTAGCAGGTCGATTCAGAACCTTACTATAACTCTGTTGTCGACCGATTCGATTAGACATCGTACGATTTCTTTTCATTTTTATTCACAATAACCGAATCGAACGTCAAATTGTCATATTCGAAACCGAATCGAAATTACGTCACACCCGTACGATTACTAGAACTTCTCGACCGGCAAAGGCTACAAACGGTATTCAGAACACAGTTGTCGAATGAAAGTTACCGAACGTCCGATTGTTTTCTTCGGTAACTTATCAAGTGGTCCTAAGTATCCGATACGTGCACTTGGAATAAATATTATTGAGTGCCTCACTATCACCAGGGAGAAGTAATAAATATGAGACGCAGACGTCCGACGATGTAATATGCAAGTCCCTTATTATTTTAAATAAAGTCTGGATTCTGTTCAATTTTATTAATTTATTTTAATGTAAGACTCACGCATTCCTATATTCTCGGCCTTTAAAAATCTTAATTATATATAAAAAAGAATTCTCATTTTTCTTATAATCTATTTCACCGACTAACTCCTTACACGCTGTTGAATAACGATATCGTATCCGACTCCGAATCGGACGTTTAACGCGAATGTTCTGAATAGTTCGGAAGGCGTCCTTCGATTCAAGAGAGAGGTTAAAATACCAAAGAGTTCTGAATCGGGCTGCTGGTCTGAGTTTTCCGGATAGTGTCCTCGAGTGAATTCCATTTCACTGATATTCATAGTACAGGAGAGTCTCTAGTTTGATACCATGTAATTGGTACATTTATAAGTAAGCAAAAATACGCTTTTTAGTGGTAATTTAGTCCTCTATGGAGCATTTCTAGTAAACATAATAACCGTTATCTTATTATTGCAATATCGATCTACGACTGACAAGTATACAGGCATGTTAAACACTGTATTTAACAAAACGGGGAGGTGAAGAGCTGTGTTTTAGCAACCAGTAGTATTTAGTTATTTTAACATTTCCATGCCGATTAGTAAGCTACTACTTGTAATTCCTCTCCGCTTAGATAGAAGGTGCTCTTGTGGATGCTTCTGACAATTTTAAAGGGCAAAAAAAAATATATTAATTAAGAAATGAAACTATAATTCCGCATTTAAATCGCGTATATGTTTTTTTCCAAACAAACCAACGTTTCGGGCACTTTACAGGTCCCATTGTCACGGATGACTAATTACTATATTGTTTTTTTGCCTTGTACGAGTTGTTAAGTCAATAGGAATTTGAATTTGTAAATGAGAACAGAATTAACCGCATAAATCCACTGGTCAAAAAAGAAAACGTTCGATTCTTATGAACTCGAATCAATTTGCAAAGGTAAGTATAGATTGAAAGTCGATGCAAATTTACGTTATATGTACAATTTATCTTCCACAAACAAGAATTTCTTAATTATAAAACTAAGGTCGGTTTACCACTAGGGTATAACATATTGTCCTCAAACGCTAACATAGAACCAAATAAAGATAATATTTTTGTAAAATGTTTATGTTCCTATAAAAAAATCTTATGTGATCATTTTGTGGCTGAGCTGAAAGTGTTGCAGTATTCATGTGGTATTGTAGATTTAATTATTTATCATTACTTTGATAAATGGAGTATATGGTAATATCTAAAGTTAAATGCTTTTCAACTAGCATTAAAAAATAGACAAAAGTCATGGCAAATTGTGAAAGCAAAATTGAAATTCTTTGAAAATTTTATATAGTTACAGATTTTGAGAGATCAGTAGTTAACGCAATATTTATTTCTGACGTCACTACTATAATAGCGTCATATTTTATAATCTACGCAGAAAAGATCGTCACTACCGAAGGTAGCATTCCATTGTTGGCGATCGCGTCAGGCGACCGCGACTCGCTATACAGTATGAATTTTGGTATTTTCGTTTTGTTAACGACGAGCTATATATAATTCGAGAGATATAGAAATAACATAGTACGAAAAAATATATGGGACGAAATTGGCAAAATGATCATCGTCTTCTTCCTTCAATAACTGCTGTATAACTCTGATAAATAGATCATCATAATTGTATTAAGCACCAGAATCAAAACGAACATAATCGGTCGTATTAAAAACTGCTGAAAACTCACGGTCGCTTGGATCCGTAGGCTACGATCACCAGGCGACAGGCAACCAGAAGTGAGGCCGCCAGTCGCTGTCGCTGGTCACCGAGGTCTCTAACGCCGGAATGCTACCTTCTTCCATTAATATCTCAAGAGCTAATTCAAATAATGAAAAATGAATTTCAGTTTCGTTTTCAGCACGTTTATGCGTGTAAATTGAGACTACAAACAATTTTCGAGTCAAATACCCTACATATAACATTGGAAAGTACATCTTATTGTATTTATTGAATGCGAACGCTTTTATTTTTCATTGAATATATGCATTTGATTATTTCTTCTAATATTCATAGGATTATATTCCACGCAATAATCTAAAGAATGTGTAGTAAATTGTATATTTGTAATGTACTGAGGTAAGTCAACTGTTCTTTACTGAAAAAAAATCAGTAATGCAAATAATAATAATTTGATGGATTACTACGGCGAGCGAGACTCAAAGGCAATTCAAGTGACTAATTAGATTTGAACCCTGAAACAGCGGCAGTAAAGAAGCACAAGTTCGTTAAAAGTTATGCAGATTGAGCATGAACACAAACACATTACTAGTCTCAGTGCTTATGCTAAGTCTGCATAATTTTTAACGAACTTGTTCTTCTTTACTGCCGCTGTTTCAGGGTTCAAATCTAATTAGTCACTTACGTCACTTAGTGCACAACTTTTAAAGAATTCGTTCCGACACTCTCAATCTATCAATTTGTTCACAACAAGAATAACACAACAAAACACACTCAAACACACTCAAACACACACACACACACACACACACACACACACATTTTGTTGTTTTCCTACAATTCGGCAAATAGGTGATTCAAGTTGGCGCGAGAAGCCGATAATTGTTATAGAACAGAAATTGCCTGTAGTTACGAGTACAGTGAAACCCGAGATTGCTGTACTTATTTGTTACACTCTTTATAGTAGCGATGTCCTAAACCTATATTTTATAGACTGGTTTTATATAAATAATTGCATTTGAACAATTTGGTGTTCACTGATGTTCACTTGTGGAGCAGTAATTTCTTATGAAGTATCTGCCGCGAAAAGCGATCCGTGCTAGTAAAAAAAACTTAGGGATTGTAACTTATTAACCCTCGAATGCATAACTATTTCGGAATACCATGGTATGTCACAAATAAAATGCTTTATTTTTCTTATACTTACGTTTAGTTTATTCGGATCACTGCAGTCGCGTTCGGCCATGGCTCCCCTCGTTTATTATAATATTGAGGATTTGGTAAGTGATTACACGATTTCTAATATAAAAAGAGTATATTATGTGTATACACTTATGTAGTCCATTATAATGTGGAGTATTCTATATAGAAACAAAATTGAAAGTACGTGTTGTTATGACAAATATACAGGGTTGTGTGTAAAATACTAACAGCCTCGCCAAGCCTGTCTTTTGATAATTCATCAATTTTACTTTCATACAAAATAAAAATTTTAATAGATCGCTGAACTTACTCTGCTATCAGATATAGATCTAAAAAAGTCAGATAGTTAAAAAAATATAATTTAATTTTTGGTAAACCTATTATGTTTTGGAAAAACGTCATGAAACACAAGTTATTGTCTATGATGTTAGTAATATACTCCTGCGAGATTGTTAGTATTTTACAAATAT